AAAACACAACATTAAAATGTAACACACACAGAAAAGAACTATAATATAACAATGGCCATTTTCCTGACTTGGTACAGGACATTTTAAGAAAAAAATGGTGGATTGAACCTGGTTTTGTGGCATGCAAAACCTCCCGCTTTTATGGCAACGTCAAACACAACACCAAAACGACAACATCACATGACAGGACCACAAAACAAATAAATGGGAGAACATATAGGACAAAGAAACACACGAATAATAGCTTACAAAAGGTACTAGGCTTAAAATTCAATACGCCAGACGTGCGTCTCGTCCACACAAGACCAACCAGTGACGCTCAGATGAAAAAAGTTTGAAAGCCAAAACAAGTACAAAGCTGAAGAGCACCGAGGACCAAAACTTCCAAAAAGTTGCGCCTAACACGGCCAGGGTTTTCTGCCTCGGACAAGAACATCCTTATTATTTAGAATAATTTAAAATTTTGCAAACAGTAAATTTTATAAAATGACTATATAATAGATATACATGATAAAACCGAAGTGGGGACTTACTACAGAATAAAAACGGATACATTACATAAAACAACTTAATCCAACACTTAAAAATACACAGCCGAGTTAGCCAAAGCCTCAACGCACAAAGTAACGTCACATTTGAAATTCTAAAAAAACACACAAAGTGACGTCACATTTGAATTTGTAAAAATATTTCCCAAAAATAAGATAGGATTAGGATTGATTCAAGATTAGATTTGTTATACTGACATTACATTTATTAATAACAATGAAATTTAAACCATCTTTAGACCATCTTTAAGTTTATTGTTTTCTGTTTAGTATTAAATTTATAACTCAGATCAATTTATTACATCGCCAATGGCTGTCAGCAGGGTTTAAGAACATTTGTTGTTCGACCTGTTAGTCAAATGCGTTTTGTTAAAATATAGTTTCCTTTTTCACTTTTTTAGTCTTTTGGAAAATGTTGTTTGTGCTGTATTTAGACTCCTCTACCAAGAAATTTGTTTTGCATGCACACGTATAAAAAATGCGGTTTTTATCCAACGCAATCATAGGTTTGAACGTTGTTTTCAATTTAGACTTGTATATATATATCCTTAACAACTAACAAAAAACAGCTGATCTACAAGATATACCATCTATACTTACCATAATACATCATATACTGTGTTACAACCCTAGATAAAGACGACGAGGAAATGCATTACTCGACTAACGAAACCTAAAAAAAAATATGTAGCTAAGTTGGTCGAATGGTCTAGGGGACTGGAAAAACGTGCAGGCGATGTTGCCACGATTTTTCAGATGCAGGGGTTTCGAAACCCTCTGAGGGAAGAACAAAACATGTTTAGATCTAACATTGTTGGGCTAAATTTGAGACGATGTATATATAAATAATGGTGTTAGCCCTGTATAACCACCGATCATCCAATGGAGAACGTGTCGTAAAGTTGTCACATATATTTTAGATATATTAAACAGTTTTTGATAGTCAGACGAAGAACGAGTTGTAATTGCAAACACACATAAAACCCGTGTTTTCCATCTCTAAGTCTACTTAGCCTTTAATGGAATTAACATGTATTTTAAGTAAATTTCAAATAAACTTTTTTATAACGAAGATAACCTAATTACAAACGTAATAACATTTTAAAAAAATACAGATCATCGTTATCATTTAGTTTTATTATTGCATTCCTTTAAATAAAATCATCATAGATACCAGGATTGAAATTTTGTATTTGCGCCAGACGTCCGTTTTGTCTACAAAAGACTCATCATTGACGCTCGAATAAAAAAAAGTTAAAAAGGCCAAATAAAGTACGACGTTGAAGAGCATTGAGAACCAAAAATTCCTAAACGTTTTGCCAAATACAGCTAAGGTAATTTATTCCTGAGGTAGAAAAGCCTTAGTATTTCAAAAATTCAAAGTTTTGTAAACAGTTAATTTATAATTATGACCATTTCAATGATAATTCATGTCAACACAGAAGTGCTGACTACTACTTTTTACGCTTTTCAGATTTTATAACAGGTGAAAACTGAAACATTTTTTAGTATTTGCGATTGTAAAAAATTCTCAATATAATAACTAGTTGAAGGTGGATGTGTAATGTTTTTGATTTATCTTTAAAAATTTGTATTATTATTCAGTGTTTTTTTTTTGGGGGGGGGGGGGGGGGGGGGTTATATTTTTTACTGGTGTTGCTTTTTACGTTGGGAAACCTAAATAGCTGGGATATTAAGAATATGTTCTCACAATAACGTTATGTAACATGCAAGAATATTTTTTCTTTGTAGGATAGGTGTCCAGTTTTCTTAGGTAATTAAATTAGTATTATATTTCATAAAAGAAGACATTTCGGATTTGAAATGTAAAAACGAATGCAAAGTCAACATAGCATTTATAATAACATTGATTCTTTTTTTAAATGTAGGAAAGAAGAAAAGGAAATCTTGTTTCTGTCTTGTTTAAACGATTTTTTTTTTCGACAGTTCATGTTAAGAAGAGTAACAGTTTCTTTTCTACAACAGCATAATCCTTACTTTCGAAATTTAAATAATGAGATAATTCATTATAGTTATAATTAGTTTAACCTGTTTACTGTACACTTCAATTTTTATTTAATTTTAAATGTTGTAATCAAATGTCAATGTTGTACATCTCTAGTACTTTAGTATGATAGATATTTTACATTATTACATTGCTTGCAATGAACTACCGTGATTTCACAGTGAAATAAAAACCGATAATTTCACATGTGAAATGAACTCGGTTATTTCACTCCTCTTACGTCATACAACAATAGGTGTTGTCAAGACGTTGTTGATGACGTCGCATCAAAGCAACTGTGAATGCGTAGAAAAAGATATAGTTCCTTACATTTTCTAGTTAAATTCCACTAAATAAAAACCATTGTCAATGTAATAAAAAGAATAAATAATCAAGGAATTCAAATATCAAAAAATATTCAACTCATGACCGAACAACACTGATAATTAACTCATGCACTACACGCATTCGTGAATTAATGCGTTGCTCAGTCACTCATTGAATATTTTTCTCTATTTGAATTCTTTTATTACTTATTCTATGAATCCCTTCTACTTCATGAAATGCCTGTACCAAGTCAGTAATATGGCAGTTGTTATCCATTCGTTGGATCTGTTTGAACTTTTTATTTTGCCATTTGATTAAGGACTTTCCGTTTTGAATTTTCCTCGGAGTTTGGTATTTTTGTTATTTTACTTTTTGCATCAACCAGAGACATATGTCAGAAATATATATATATGTCTCTACACCAATGGAATGTTTTATCTTAATGCTAAAATTATACATTTTGATTTTGAAATGTATATATAGCCTTTTGTTACTATATACCTGTCTTTTGTATAGTGCCAGTTGTGGCAATAAACTCAGATAATAACACTACTTTAATTGCTGGATTATGTGATGGTTTTGCAACTTTCACTATTATATTACTGATTGTCATAGTAATAAAGAAATATTCAAAGAGGCAAGTATCAAATACTATCAGATATTTACATCTGTATAATAAAATGAATGTTCCACAATCCCTTCAACTGTTAAATCAATGAATGAGACTTATTATACACTTATATCATATTAACTGGCTGTGAGGACATCAGCAAGTTTATTGTTACAGAGATGGAAAATAATGACAAGAAAAACACCAAAACTTAACTTATAAAAAAAAAGGATGTCACATATAGTTTAAATGTGCCATTTGCAGACAAAAGACATGTTGTATATATTTTCTGGTTGTTGATGAGGATGGTACAAAGGCCATAAATATATAATTCTTTTAAACTGACTTCGTGTATAAGTGACTATAAATGAATGGGGTTAATGCATATATGCACTCATTTCAATGAACTTCTAGTTATAATGCATTTATATTACAGGAGCAACCAAACCGAACCTGCAATTTCAAGCACAGGACAAATGAAAAACAGCTTACTGAAATGAATTTCGAGTATATATATATATATATATATATATACATACATAAATCATGAATCATTATCAATAAAAAAACAAGAACAGAATGACATGACTTAATTTATAGAAAATTGTTAATGTTGAATTTTCATGATGTATAAATTGATTGCTTTATGTGCCTCTGAATAATCATTATAATTCTTATTATACTTTTTATACAATTGTTCAAATTATTATTATCATTATTATTGAATTGAATATGTATATATTTTCCTTCTGTTTTTCACAATTACTTTTAAATAAATATAGATCTTATCATATTTATTAATTTTATTAAATTATAGTCTTGGTGGTTTTAGATATTTTTGTAATGTTATAGTTTACACCAAAAACCATTCTTATTGCTAAGGCCCATATTTGATAACTCAATTTTTACATTACCACTTTCTTAATCAGGACAAGAATAGCGGAAATACAATAGATACTCAACAACATATAATCTGTATACAGGATATAGATTATCAGCTCTTCTAACTTTTGATATAAAAAACTTTATATCAATGCAATCACTATTGCTTGCATTCTACGACATCCTTCGCAGCTCAATCAATCAATTATCTCTAATCTTTTACTTCAAAATAATCCTCGGTGATGGGACCCGAATTCCATCCAATTGATGTATAGACGTTGTTAAATTTGAAATCAAATACAACATGAAACTTCACTGTAAAGTTGTCCTTGGTCTAAGTAGTTAAACTACTTTATCACTAGCCTGTCAACACTTAAGTTGTAAGTTCAAACCATGCAAGTGGCAGGTGAGTGTTAGACTTCAATTTTAATTGACTAGGATTGCCAAAAGTTGATGGTTCTCTCCTGTCCCTCCAGCTTCCTCCACCAACAAAAATTGGCTGCTATGAAATAGCCAAAAGTGTTGAAAGTGGCGTTAAACAACAAAATCAGTCAATGCTCTCTAATCTTTTCTGTGTCACTTTTAGTGTTTTGGTATTTTACAATAACCATGCATATAATATAAAAAATAAAAATATTGATCCATTTTATGTATTATTTAAGTTCAAATACAAGTAGGTCTCTGAGGCATACATAAATTGTAATGTGCTGTCTGGTCCCAAAAATCTGTTCCTTTCCAACCACACCAACCCTATAAAAAAAAGATTTCTGATAAACATATTTTCAAGCATTAACAATAATTGAGATATTTCAGTTTAAAATACTGTGATTTCTTAATTAGTGTAGCAAAGAAAGTGGCCTTAAAGTAATCTACTATTTTGTTGTACAGTTTATAATAGTCCTTCACTACAGCACTTAATGTTGATCAAGATAAGAATTGTTTTTGGTGTTTATTTTTATGTATTACTGGAAATGTAGGATATACACCCAAGAACCAGCAAAAAAAAATAACACAAAAAATCAAAAAAACATCTTGAGGTCAACATACTGTCTTCAACAATAGACAGGTGCATTTACAATGGTGAGCTCTAAATTGCTCAGAGTCAATAAAGTTGTGAATAAATAAAACAGAAACTATCAAGGATTTGCAATTTGCAGCCAAATTCACCCCAAATTCTCTAAATGACAATAATTTAATTTTGGATGTAACGCATTTTCTGATTGGCTGACGTTGTTTTGTTTATCAGCTCATAGACATAATATTGTCATGTGACCGTGACATCATCAACGTTTTTTCATGGTTTACTCCAATTTAAAATGAAATTTAGAATTAAATTATAAGAAATGACTGTAATATTTTTTCTGTCTATTCGAAATAACATAACAAATGTGGTGCACACTTTAAAATAAACCGCTACGCAGGTTATTCAGTGTGCACCACATTTTTGATGTTATTTCTTCATAGACAGAAAAAATATTACAGTCATTCCTTAAATAAAATTAAGAGATTAAAAAAAACAACAAAAACAGTAATGAATTAAAATAAGTCAACCAGTTTTATTACCTTAGAAATACATATAGTATATAGATGGTATTAGTACTATCATAAAGTCTTTTTCAAGTAAACATATATATTGCTTCATCTTCTTTTTTATGAAAAATTGAAGAATTATATAATCACACATTTTTAATATCAAGCAATTCACTCCAACCAAGCAATATGTTTTTATAGGGCAGTCATTATACATATTCTACAGATTCCATCAGAATTTTTGCTGTAACATTTTATTTTAGTAGTTTTATTTGTCTGCGAAATAAATCTTACCTTATCTTGAATAACTTTCAACTCTTCTGCACCAGTATAGTGAGGGTCTAGGATCAAAAACTTCAAATCCCCTGTCACATCGTTAAAATCTACTCCTAATATTGTGTGTGCTAATACCCCTCCTCCTGGAAAAGGTTACACAAATTGTCAATAAATATTCAACATGTTCATGCTTCATATTTTGTCTCTCAACAGATATTTTTCAGTATCAAAATACAGAAAACCTGATAAGTATATATTCCTTCAATAAGTATTGTTGATTTTATGGTTCACCAAGCAAACATGCAAACTCAAATTCATTGTTCTCTGTACACACACAAATATAAACATGATATATATATACTGAAACAGTGAATTCTGTTTCAGCTATTTTATATTTTTTACCATTTTTTTGCTAGGACTAAAACATTGAATATTGGTCCTAGGTTTTAGGAAAAGATGTTTACTCTGTGGACACAAAAAATGAAAATATGATGCAATAATGATATCTTAGTTTGTCAAAAACAGGTAACCTTTATGTAATATTTGAAAGAAGTGGTGGCTGTGGCTGGAATCCAGGATTACGTTAAAATTTAACTGTGATTGCTCAATCCTGACATTTAAGCTAAAAATAGGCTAATGCTGAAAAAGTTTGCAGTTGCTTATATCTTGATGTTTTCATTGGCAAAGTTTCAAACAAACCTAATTAAAATTTTATTGACCTTACAGTGTGTACAATGTACACTGTACAATTGTTGGCTACCCTATTCAGGAGTAACAATTTTCAATGGCAGTCAATCAAAATAAGTATGAATGTAGATCCAGTTCACTGACAATTGAGCAAACTATAATTATGTGCAATGACTTCACATTCAAATAATTTGCTGTAAACCTTTAACAACATCCTAACTTTTGATTGATCCTTCAAAAATTTGAGGATAAACCATCATTTTGATAAACCATCATTTTGAAAAATGATGAACCATCATTTTGATAAACCATCATTTTGATAAAACATATAAGAAGAAAATAGAAATTTCTTGAATACAAGTATATTGATAATTATGTCACTTTCACCTTTTAGTTTAAATGTGTTCGTGCTAACAAAAGATTAAATGAACTTCCTCCCATAGAAAGAAACCTTACCAATCATTATAGGTGTTCCTTGTGTTGTGAAATGCTGAGCCAATTCTCTCCCTTTAGAAGACAAATCAGCACCAGCACTGACAAACATTATCTTTGAGGTTACCTGAAATAAAGGAATAATAATGGGTGCAATAAAAGAAATTTACACATAGAATAACAAAAACATAGCTGATTTGTCTCACAAAAATTCTTCTACATGAGTCAGTCACAGTTACCTTGTGATGATTTTTTTGTATTTTAGTTTCTTATTTTTTTGGCTTTCAAGAGTTGTGGATAAACTTTCTCCCATGTAACTGCCAGAAACAGCATGCATAAGTCTCACATTAGCTACTTTGTCCAGAATAGACAAATAAGATGTGGAATGATTGCTAACTAGTTAACAATCCACCAAAGGATATAAACATGTATGGATTTGAAAAGTTTTGGTGACTTACCCCTATTAAATGGTCCAACACATAACTGCATTCCATAGACCCAATCCACTGCCTGGATCCAACAAACTTTGGATCTTTGTCTCCTACATCTACTAATGCCTACAATTTGTAATTGCAGTGTATTAATTTGTACATATACCTTTTAAATCTAGTTATTAAAATTAGCTACAATTTATACAGATTTTCATATTCCATTTAATTCAATTATGCATTCAGTCTGAAAAGAAATACCAGTGACAAGTTGCCTGCTGTATGACCATGTGACCTCTTAAGTAACATGTCTGTATATTACTGTAGTCTGAACCAGGATGGTTGTGTTTTCTTATACTGTAAGTTCTGACCTCTTAAGAAACATGTCTGTATATTACTGCAGTCTGAACCAGGATGGTTGTGTTTTCTTATACCGTAAGCTCCAAAATTTTTGCATGAACTTATTTTTACAATTGTTGAACAATTGACAATAAAGTGCTGTGTCATGAGCACATGATACACCCGTCACTTTTAAAAAGAATAAAGTTCCATAACTCCTCAATGTCATGTCAGAAATTTATAAAAAAAACTAAAGGGAGGTTACTGTGGATTCATTTATTTTCGTTGGTACCAATTTTCGTGGGTTAAGGAAAACTTACATGTTTGTGGATATTTAATTTTGTGGTTTTGCCAAAGTCTGCATACAAGCCTATAGAAAATTTGTTATTCGTTGAACATTTAATTTCGTGGTTCACCTGTACCAACGAAATCCACGAAAATTGGTATCCCACGAATAATAATGAATCCACAGTATTTGAATAGATATAAAGCAGTCACTAAAGTTTCATGAAAACTGCTCAAAGCATTTTTGAGTTATTGTCCAAAAACTGGAAAATCCCCTTTTCATGAATAAAACCCCATAACTCTGAAACGTAAAATCTAAAATTTATAAAAATCGAAAGGAAGCTCATGTCAATAGATATAAACAATTCACCAAAGTTTCATGCAAATTGGTTAATGCATTTTTTGAGTTATTGTCTGATATATTGATGACGGTCAGACAGACAGACAGACAGACGGACAAATAGATGGACACACAGAGGGATGGACGGAGGGACAACGGTATACCATAATACGTCCCATAAACAGGCATATGAAAATGTGAGATTGATTATTGCAATTACAGAAAATACTGCATACAAATATTGCTATCAAATTTTGTTTTTGTGTGAAACCTTTCCTGTTACATTCTTCCCAATAAAACAAACATCAGAAACATCTCTGAATTAGCAGTAACTTTAATCATTCTTGAGAAGCGTAAGTTGACACACTCTTAATATACAATCTGAACATAAAACACCAATGTCTAATTATTACCTGCTGTATTTCTTTATGACCTGGTATAGGTTTCTCAGTATAACCCTGAAGTCTGAACCAGGATATAAGAGTCTGTAGAGAACGGTAAGCACATCCCCACTTATTGTCATCAAATCTGTCCTGCATGTAATGATGGTAGCTGTATAATCCTTGTACAATATATGGAGTACCATCTTTCACTAGGAGAAAAGATGTGAGTTAAAAAAATTTAAACCATGAATATATTCATCACATGGTTGTTGTTATGTGTGTTTATTTTGTAGTTTTGAAAAAACAAGTATTTAAAAATATTTCATCTGATACAATGTTCAGCTAACACACTATTTAATTTACTGTGGATTCATTTATTTTCATGGTCAATTTTCGTGGATTGAGGAAAAAATACATTTTCGTGGATATCTGATTTCGATGTTTTGCCAATCTCTGAATACAAAGCCAATAGAAAATTTGTAGTTTGTTAAACATTTGAATTCACGGTTCACCTCTACCCACAGTAAATGTCATGTTCAGTGAACTGTGAAATCTGGGTCAAAACCATAATTTGGCATATATTCTAAAAAGCTTAAATCATAATGAACATGTGCATTAAGTATCAAGTTGATGTGACCACATTTTCATGATAAAGTGAATTTTAATGTGCGTATTGTTATGCGTTTACTTTTCTACATTGGCTAGAGGTATAGGGGGAGGGTTGAGATCTCATAAACATGTTTAACCCCGCCGCATTTTTGCGCCTGTCCCAAGTCAGGAGCCTCTAGCCTTTGTTAGTCTTGTATTATTTTGAATTTTAGTTTCTTGTGTACAATTTGGAGTTTAGTATGACGTTCATTATCACTGAACTAGTATATATATTTGTTTAGGGGCCAGCTGAAGGACGCCTCCGGGTGCGGGAATTTCTCGCTGCATTGAAGACCTGTTGGTGGCCTTCTGCTGTTGTCTGTTCTGTGGTCGGGTTGTTGTCTCTTTGACACATTCCCCATTTCCATTCTCAATTTTATTAAATCAAATATTTAACCTAGATACACATTCAGGGACTGATGTTTAGCTGTGGTTTGAAAATCACACCCAATTCATATAGACATTGGTTTATGCGAAAATCCCTACCCATACAAAAAAAAGTCATATATTTCATAGGAAAATCATAATCTATTCATATATTTCCCAGCTTTCAGCTAGACATACAATCTGTACATGTCATCTTAATTAGATGTTAACCATACAGGATCATTCATATTAATTACATAAAAAGATCAGTACACAGTTTTTACAGATATCTTGGCAGAAAATGAACATTTATGACCCATTGACACATAAATGTCTGTCTACCCATTGGTTAATTACCTCCATGAAATAGCACCCATTGATATATTTGACATTCCAAAAAAAGTGACATGTCTGTGTATACCTTTATATAGGAAGAGACCCACCTCCTGTGTATTACCCACAGAAATTTTTTTCTATTGTGTCCAACACTCTCATACTTTTTTCTTGGAAAAGCCCATTGTTTCTATTTTCAAATGGTATAGATACCAGTACATAATTCTGTGTAAAATACTGGCAGTTTTTATTATATTTAATTTACATTTACATGGTCTCAACAAAAGTAAATCTGAAATTGAGATTTAATGTACAGTACTTCTGGATAATTATACATCCAGTATATGAACATTAACTAAAATAGGAGACAAAAAAAACTTTGATCGCTGACAATTTTAGTCAACAAGAAATAGATGGTTGCCTATAATTGCATACATCCACTTCATTTGAAATTTGTTGTATAGTTGTGTCATTGGCAATCATACCACATTTTCTTATTTTTACGAAGATTGCATAGATATCAATAAGACCAAATTGGTTGGTAAGTACTTTTTTGCAATAAAAAAATACATGTTTTCCCTTGAAATCACTCAATTTCACTTCTTTCTGTATATAGAGACAATAATAGTGCATTGACTTGACATATCAACAATATAAGGATGAGGCTTAGAAACAGGGAAATGCGAGGCTCTGCCGAGCTTTTTCCCCCGTTTCAAGCCGAATCCTTATATCGTTGATATGTCAAGTCAATACACTATTATTGTCTTTATACTGCAATCTAGATAAAAAACATTTTCAATTGTTGTTTATTGTGTTAATGTTATTTATTCGATTTAAATATTGGGAAGAAGTCCCCTTTAAAAAGGCCTCATATCTGGTGGAGAAATATACAACACAATGAAATGTACATAACCTGTTGAAACCAATCAATGGTGAACGAATTCGTTTGAGTATGAACTAAAATATCAACAATAAGCATAAAATATAATGATTTATGGGTTTCAAACAAAAAATATTAACAAGTGAAATATGTTTTTCCAAAAATTGTAAAAGAAATTAGTTTGAGTCGTTCCACGCTTCGTTGTATACATTGGAAACAAGGACAGGTTGAAGAGGTTGTCATGAATAATGAAATATAGTTTCGGCTCTCCTATTTAAATATTCATGAGGAAAAGTGATATCTGGTCAATGACTGTATATGACATAGAAATATAAAGTCAACGCATTTTGACTGCTCAAATAGAACGAGTGCAGTATAAATGTGTTTATGTAACTCACTCATCATTTATATCAAAAAAGTAAAAACAATGTTGGAAGCAAACAAACATCCACCATATCTATCTAAGCAAGAAACACTGTGGAGCAAGATCAGCTTACCTTTCCAGAGCACCTGAGATCACCCCTGGTTTTTGGTGGGGTTCCTGTTGCTCAGTCTTTAGTTTTCTATTGTGTATTTATGTACTGTTGTTTGTCTTCTGGTCTTTTTGTTTTGTAGCCATAGTGTTGTCAGTTTATTTTCGACTTATGAGTTTGAATGTCCCTTTGGTATCTTTCACCCGTCTTTTATGAAATGAATTTGGTTTGTATGTTTGTATTTTTGTCAAAGCTTCCTACCTCCAGAAGATGATAAACCTGCATGTGGATTTATCAAGTAGCCGTATTTTTCAAGGTCTTCCAAGAACATGTGCTTATTGTTTCTTCTGAAAACTGGTTTATCATCATTTAGACAAAACATTTTGTGTAAATCTCTTCGTCTTTCAACTGAAATTAAATTCAAAAACATTTCTGTTACTGTAAATTCAGACATTATTGCGATGTTTTTATTATTGCTAATAATGTGACTGGGTGAGTATTGCAATAATAATAACTCGCATTCTGATATCTGAAACATACATCTGTTTGTAGATTTTCCGGAAATTGCAATAATTATCTCTTATTTTTGGCAATTATTAAAAAATTGCAATAATTTCTGAATTTACAGTATTATGCTTTGATTTTACCTGAATAACATTTCAACAAACACACAACTACATTTAAATGTACATGTATATTGTGTATTCTACTTTTCAATGTTTACATTGTTAATAAATTACCGAAATGAAAAATAATTCATAGTTTTTGATCAAAAGAAAGTTTTTCTTTGCTTTTAAAAACATGCTATTAGCTGAATAAACTGAAAAAAACTTCTTTTTTTTTTCTCCGAGACAAATTTCCTTGCTGTCTGTATTTTTTGTTTGTGGATTCATCATTTTTTTTGTGGATACCAATTTTCAAAATTGTATTTTCATATATTGATTTTGTTGCTTTGTCAAATTTTACATACAAACCTACAAAAAATTTATGTACACTAAACTCTTAAATTTGTGGTTTGCTATTAACTGCAAAATCCACAAAAATTGGTAACCAACCAATAATAATGAATCCACAGTAGAAAAAAGGCTACAAAATTTAACAAGAGTGCACACGCTGAAATGTCTCGCCTTCTTTACTAATCATTGATATTATGTTGATAGTCCTAAATATAAAGCTTTATTACAACTGTCACATAAACTTAACATTAACCAAGAAAACTAAACATTGACCAATGAACCAGGAAAATGAGGTCAAGGTCAGATGAACCATGCTAGGCAGGCATGTACAGCTAACAATTCTTCCATACAACAAATATAGTTGACCTATTACTTATAGTTTAAGAAAAACAGACCAAAACACAAAACTTAAAACTGAGCAATGAACCTTGAAAATGAGGTCAAGGTAAAAAAAAAACCTGCGTGACTGACAAATAGATCATAAAATATTTCCATACACCAAATATAGTTGAACTATTGCATATAGTATTAGAAAAAAAGACCAAAACTCAAAAACTTAACTTCATCAGAAGGGATTGACAAATATGGCCATTTTTTTTTTATTTCCTCTTGAGTACAGACAAACCTGTGCACAAGGAAAAGTTTTAAGGCATTGCAGAAACTGGATAAATATTTGTCAATTCCCTGAGATGAACCCGAAAGACCCCCCCCACCCCAAAAAAAAAACAAAAAAAACTAAAATTATCTTCAATCTTTGATCAAAATATTGTAAAAAGTCATATTTTCATATTATCTATTTATCTATTTATGTTGCTATGCTAAAATATTTTTTACTTATCTCAATACTTATCTTATTTCATATGCATCAAAAATCAGTAAATGTGATTCTGTTGTGCAAACAAAATTTCAAAAGTTCTTCAATCTGTACATATTCAGCCAATTAATCTTTATGAAGGGACTGGAGTGAACTGTATTCTATGTTAAACATTCATGCATGAGTGACCTTATTTTAACATTTTCACACCTTCCAATGTTTTTGTTAATCACGGTTTAGTAATGATCCCTTAAAAGTTTTTATTATTTATTATCATTATTAATGTTATTTAAAGATTTTTATAAAATAATCTATTTCAATGTAAGTAATCAGCAGTTAAATAATAAAATACATTCCATACACCAAATATAGTTGACCTATTACTTATAGCATCTGAGAAGAAGACCAAACAACAGAAACTTAACATTGACCAATGAACCATGAAAATAAGCTCAAGGTCAGATGAAACCTGTCAGACAGACGTGCACACCTTACAATCATTCCATACACCACATATAGTTGACCTATAACTTATAGTATCTGAGAAGAGGACCAAACAAGAGCAACTTAACATTGACCAATGAACCATGAAAATGAGGTCAAGGACAAATGACACCTGCCAGACAGACATGTACACCTTACAATCATTCCATACACCAAATATAGTTGACCTATTACTTATAGTTTAAGAAAAACAGACCAAAACACAAAACTTAAAACTGAGCAATGAACCTTGAAAATGAGGTCAAGGTAAAAAAAAAACCTGCGTGACTGACAAATAGATCATAAAATATTTCCATACACCAAATATAGTTGAACTATTGCATATAGTATTAGAAAAAAAGACCAAAACTCAAAAACTTAACTTCATCAGAAGGAATTGACAAATATGGCCATTTTTTTTTTTATTTCCTCTTGAGTACAGACAAACCTGTGCACAAGGAAAAGTTTTAAGGCATTGCAGAAACTGGATAAATATTTGTCAATTCCCTGAGATGAACCCGAAAGACCCCCCCCCCCCCACCCCAAAAAAAAAACAAAAAAAACTAAAATTATCTTCAATCTTTGATCAAAATATTGTAAAAAGTCATATTTTCATATTATCTATTTATCTATTTATGTTGCTATGCTAAAATATTTTTTACTTATCTCAATACTTATCTTATTTCATATGCATCAAAAATCAGTAAATGTGATTCTGTTGTGCAAACAAAATTTCAAAAGTTCTTCAATCTGTACATATTCAGCCAATTAATCTTTATGAAGGGACTGGAGTGAACTGTATTCTATGTTAAACATTCATGCATGAGTGACCTTATTTTAACATTTTCACACCTTCCAATGTTTTTGTTAATCACGGTTTAGTAATGATCCCTTAAAAGTTTTTATTATTTATTATCATTATTAATGTTATTTAAAGATTTTTATAAAATAATCTATTTCAATGTAAGTAATCAGCAGTTAAATAATAAAATACATTCCATACACCAAATATAGTTGACCTATTACTTATAGCATCTGAGAAGAAGACCAAACAACAGAAACTTAACATTGACCAATGAACCATGAAAATAAGCTCAAGGTCAGATGAAACCTGTCAGACAGACGTGCACACCTTACAATCATTCCATACACCACATATAGTTGACCTATAACTTATAGTATCTGAGAAGAGGACCAAACAAGAGCAACTTAACATTGACCAATGAACCATGAAAATGAGGTCAAGGACAAATGACACCTGCCAGACAGACATGTACACCTTACAATCATTCCATACACCAAATATAGTTGACCTATTGCTTATAGTATTAGAAAAACAGACCAAAACACAAAAACTTAACATTGACAAATGAACCATGAAAATGAGGTCAAGGACAAATGACACCTGCCAGTCAGACATGTACACCTTACAATCATTCCATACACCAAATATAGTTGACCTATTGCTTATAGTATTAGAAAAACAGACCAAAACACAAAAACTTAACATTGACCAATGAACCATGAAAATAGGTCAAGGACAAATGACACCTGCCAGACAGACATGTACACCTTACAATCATTCCATACACCAAATATAGTTGGCCAATGGCTTATAGTATTAGAAAAACAGACCAAAACACAAAAACTTAACATTGACCAATGAACCGTGAAAATGAGGTCAAGGTCAGATGAAACCTGCCAGACTGACATGTATCCCTTATAATCATTCCATACACACCATATAGCTGACCTACTGCTTGTAGTATCTGAGAAACGGACCTAATCATGTAACTTTATCCTTGATCATTGATCCATGAAATGAGGCTGAGGTCAGGTGAACCCTGTCTGATGGACATGTAGTTGTTGCAAGGAACCCATATACCAAATATAGTTATCCTATTACTCATAATAAGTGAGAAATTTACATAACAAAAAAACTAAACTTTTTTTTCAAGCAGTCGCTGAACCATGAAAATAAGGTCAAGGACATTGGACATATGACAGACGGAAAGTTCGTAACATAAGGTATCTGCATACAAAGTATGAAGCATCCAGGTCTTCTACCTTCTGAAATATAAAGCTTTATACAAAAAGTTTACGCCGCCGTCGCCGCCGCTGGATAGTAATACCTATGTCTCACTTTCTGCGACTTTCGACGCAGGCGAGAAAAAAATACTATTCCACTACTAACTATAAAAGTCAGCTGATAAAAGTAGGAGAAACTTATATAAAAATAAGAAGATGTGGTGTGATTGCCAATGAGACATCTCTGCACAAGAGACCAAATGACACAGAAATTAACAACTATAGCTCACCGTACAGCCTTCAACACAAAATGACAAATGTAAAACATTTCAAACGAGAAAAATAATGGCCATATTTATGTACAAAATAATGAATGAAAAACAAATATACAGCAACAAACGACAACCACTGAAATACCGGCTCCTGACTTGGGACAGGCACATACAGAATAATAAACCCTTGTATTGCATCACATCTAACATTAGTGGGATCATTATCCAAAATTTTAAGAAACTGTCAGAAGAAGGTAAAAAAGCTCATAAATCTTTACCTAAATCATCATCAGACATTTTTGAAGGATAAGTTACAGTAAGAAAAGTATTCAGGCTTAATGGCTGGAAATGGTATGGTTGTGGTGTCTGAAAATCTCCTCTCTAAAACAAATGAATAATATTATTATCAAAATAATCAATTGGCAATATTTAGACACTAAATTGCAATCTTGCTAATCTATCGTAATCGAAATTACAAATATAAAATCTCAATCTTTATTTTCAGTAGGGTTAGGTATGCTCAATCCTTAATTTCATGTCTTTTCTGTACTGTTTTTGTATTTTTATGTTGGTTTTTTTTTCAAATTGACTATGTAATGTCTGTCTCTCTTAAACGTGTTTTTTTTTTATTCTGACATTTTTTTTCAAATGATCATAGAGAAATATAAAAGAATATTTATCTATTTCATTTTATCTTATTAAATCACTTTAAATTTATAAAAGTGAACAACCAAATCAGGAAACTATAGCATTGAGTAACATGGGCATAAGATTTACAAGAGCCCGACAAACAATAAATTATTGTGTTTATGCAAAACGTACAGGATTTCTTAACCAACAAATTGAACTAAATTTGAAAAATTGTACAAATCAGGGAAGTTTTATCCTCATTTCTAGGTGTCTACTGCCGTATCCGAAAGAAGAAAAAAAAATTTGCAGAAAAGTGCTGAATCCAATGAAAAAAAACCAATTACCTTGGAATGCTGCATCAAACAGTTGGTCATTGCCTTTAATTGACGACACACACTTGTTGACATAGCTACAGCTAGTTTACTAACAGTAGTATCAGTTGTCACTGTGGATATTGTGTCAATACATAATGTAAGGTCCACTGATTTAGTGTTTACTGTAAAATAAAAACTGAGAATGGTCAATTTGTAAAAGTGTATGTCACTTTCAGACCTGGCCTTGCAGTCATTAAAATTTGGAGTACAATTATCATACTTAGACTCAGAATTTAAAATCATTATACTGGATTTGGAGATTTTAGCACAAAATTGTATTCCGAGTAATGAGTAAAGTTTTATGACCGTAAGCCCTTATGATTAATAAAATAACCATAAACAAATCATTGTATGTATTAAATAGAAACACATTTAATAATTAAAATGTCAATATTATGCACAAATACTATAAATCTACTAGATTTCACGACTTTCACAAGTAGTAAAAAAAAAACAAATATAGATAAATTGTTGCTAAAATATAAAATAATACTTGGATCTTTCATTTATAAATACATCAAAGAAAAAAGGAAAATTGCAAAAATACATCATTGCTAAGTCAGCTCATCTCGTTATTTTTATTTTTAAAGTATATTATATATTTAAGCTGCTATTTAACATAAAATATTATTATATTTTGTTATTAAAACATCATATATTCACCCTGCTATTAGTTTTTTAACTTATTAAATATGAAAAGAAATGTACATAATTCATAGGGAGGAAACAGGAACAGCCAAACATTCCTAATGCTTGGTGTAAAATATCAACAAACATAATGCCTACACATGTTAAAATGAACAAAGAGCATGACATGAAGGAATTATTTCTTTTAAATAATGTATCAGCAAAAATACGTTTGTTGACAACCAAGCTTAGTATATGTTAAAAATGAACTCAATCCAAAGGACAAACTAGATCTTGTATTTCAAGTTCAAAACAGTAAACATAAATATACATAAAAAGTTTTCAGCAGGCTAATGCAAGTATTTTTAAGAACTAAATGTTTTCTCATTACCAGTGCAAATAAACTCATCATAGATACCAGGATTAAAATTTTGTACGCCATGCATGTGTTTTGTCTGCAAGAGACTCATCAGTGACGCTCGAATAAAAAAAATTTAAAAGGCGAAATAAAGTATGAAGTTGAAGAGCATTTAGGAGTCAAAATTGCTAAAGATTTTGCCACATACAGCTAAGGCAATCTATTCCTGAGGTAGAAAATCCTTTGTATTTTGAATTTTAAAAACAGTTAATTCATAATTATGACCATATCAATGATAATTCATGTCAACATGTCAAGCACTGTCAAACTGTTGTCATGCTTGTTTTTTTTAGGAAAGATCAAACTCAGGAACTATCAAATTTTATAAAACATTGCTTATATTTCTATATGCCAATGTTTACTAATCAAACTTTCATTTCTTTTCATTTATCTTTTCCTGATTTTAAATTGTTTTTTCTGTTTTTCATTGGATGAGTGAATACATTTGATATTTGACTGCCCGTACAAGACATCAATGACCTCTAAAATGTTTATGCGATAAGAGAAAATGGCTGATATCAGCAACTAGGTCTGTAGAAATTTTGCTAACCACACTTATTAAAGTTAACTGAATGTTAGCAGCACATTTAAACAGAAAATGTTTGGAATGTATTTTATTTTATCATAAATACACTAAAAGAAGAAATGTGTTTATGCTGTTATCAAACTACAACAATAAAAATTTACAAAGATATTTCTTTTATCTGTAATAATAGATCTCAAATAAATTCTGGATTTACAGTCTATAGATATGACAAAGCTGTCAAAATATATGTAAAATAAATCCCTAACCATTCCAAGAAAGCTAAAATCTGTATAAATCTCATGCACATACCAATATTATGGTATATAACTGGGGCACAAGGTGGGATATTTTCATCTGTAGGTGTTCCACTTCTCTTAAAGTATGTTGTAAATTGTAACGTTTCCTGAAAAATTAAACACATCATACATGTTATTATAAACATAAAAAGATGTAAGCAAAAATCACAACATTTAAAGGAAATGTGGACTCTATAGTTTTTTATGTGTTTGATGTCTGTAAAATCTTCAGGTTAATAACTACGATGAATGAATATTGAGTCGATGTAAGGGAGACAAAAAACTTATGCAATATTAGGAAATAAATTAATTAATTAGGAAATAAGAAATATATAAAGTAAAAAAATACCAAATGTTTATCTTTTTTCTTCCTGGTCCTTTTGTAAATTCCACCATCCTCCTCTATCAAGTCATACAAATCTACACATTTACTGTCTTTAGTTAACGTTATACCACATGACTGGTTTCCACCAATCAATACATTGCTCTGTTGAAGTTTATACATTATACAGCCAGACTTTATTATTTTACATTGTCTGTCTATTTCTTTACTCAAGCTCTTTTTCCATGATTCTGAAATGAGTTGAGAACAAAAACATAATGTTCAATCCGAATAATATTATCTAAGCACATTGTTTTGAACTTAATGGAAAGTATATGAACATTCCATAGTATTAACTTACACTTTATTTGCAAAATTTAAGCACTGAGTAGACAAATATCCCTACCCCTATCCCTGTTAGCTTAAGTGAAAATACATATATCTTTATATCTAGAAGACCTAGATGAGAGAAAGACACGAAGAAGAGAGGCGAAAGATACCAAAGGGACATTCAGACTCATAAGTCGAAAACAAACTGACAATGCCATGGCTAAAAAAGAAAAAGACTAACAGTACACAAAACACAACACAGAAAATTGAAGACTGACCAACACAAACCCCACCAAAAACTGGGGGTGATCTCAGGTGCTCCGGAAGGGAATTCTAAATTGCATAACAAGTTACAACTAATGTTATGCTAGATGGCTAATTTCATACCAATATTTGCTGAAGAATATTTTTACCACAAAAAATTTCAATATGACATAAAAGGAAACATTGAGAGAAGACAAATGTATTGAGGAACCACAAGAACATAAACAAGAGGTTCATAAGGGCCTAATTCCTTTCCCTGGCAAAAACATGGTTATTTGATAATTTTTTACCTTTTTCAAAATAAGTATCTAAACAAACAGCATTTTTTTAAGGGCATTCATTTAGTTAGATCAAGAGGAATAAATTATATCCCTGATTCAAATAGCCCTCCACTACATGTAAGTTGTCATCACAATATCAAAGACCATTGTAGTTATCTGTAGAACTCAAATTTAATTGTTTCTTTTTTACTTTTTACAGTAAATGTATCTCTATTTTCAAGATGATCAATCAGAAAAACTAACCAAAAATCACTATTCAAGGGCAATAACTTCTACAAGAAGTCATCTGTTGATTTGGGTGTAATGGGATGTATACACTTCTTGACATTCTGGGCATTTTTGCACTATTAGATTTATCTCTATCTATTAAAGTTTTCAAGATGTTTAACAATAAAAGCATTTTACCCTTACATTCTATTTCTATACATGTTAGATATGGTAAACAGTATCATTCAATATAATGTTCAATATTTGGCAAATTTCACATTTTTGTGATACATTCCTCCTTTGAAATCTATCATGGAAAAGTGAGCAGGATAAGAAGAAAATGGACTTACATGTGTGAATGTTTACAGTCACAAAACTCTTACCTACCTTCATTGTCTCCTATATCTACAGTCACATCAATACAACATGTATTCCTGGCTATGATACATGTATTTACAACACTCTTCCCTACCTTCATTGTCTCCTATATCTACAGTCACATCAATACAACATGTATTCCTGGATATGATACATGTATTTACAACACTCTTCCCTACCTTCACTGTCTCCTATATCTACAGTCACATCAATACAACATGTATTCCTGGCTATGATACATGTATTTACAACACTCTTCCCTACTTTCATTGTCTCCTATATCTACAGTCACATCAATACAACATGTATTCCTGGCTATGATACATGTATTTACAACACTCTTCCCTACCTTCACTGTCTCCTATATCTACAGTCACATCAATACAACATGTATTCCTGGATATGATACATGTATTTACAACACTCTTCCCTACCTTCACTGTCTCCTATATCTACAGTCACATCAATACAACATGTATTCCTGGCTATGACACATGTATTGACAACACTCTCCTCTGAAATGTTTACAGTAACAGAACTCTTCCCATCCTCTGCTGTCCAAAAGTTAAAATTATCTTCAGATAAAAGATTGGTCAGGTTATCTGGTAAGGTTAGAATTAGTAACTGGGAAAACTGTGTAGATAACTGAAATATATAAGAATTATCACAAGGTATTTAGCATACTGGTAATAAAACCCATCATTGTTTTGATTTGGTTCTACTTTTGGGTTTTTAATGCTCTACATAGTTTTGTTGTAAGTTTTGAACTTTCATATATTTTGGCCTTAAGCATCCCTGATGGTGTCACGGAATAGAAGTTCCTTCATAATATAAGTTCCAAAAGGAAAAAATATTCTGGAATATTATTTCCACAGGAATAAATATTACAGTATATGTTCCTAACGGAATAAATGGTATAGAATATTTGTTCCAACAGGAATAGATATTATGACATTGTTTATAACAAAGTTTCCAGTGGAACTTCTGTTAGGCGGAACAAATATACGTTTACAATGATACATTAATTGTCAAATTCACATCTGATGCAATAAAATTGGTACTGTTAATATTATATAAACTACCACTGGGTCAACACTTCTGCAGGTGGACTGTTAATCCACAATGGTATCACCAGCCAAATATCTTGATACATCTGGTATGAAAATGGGATGATGTTTTAATGAAATATGTTGTTATAAATCATTGAAAATCCGATAAATCCAAATTAAGGAATGTATCTCCCTTTTCCATAGTTCTGATTCATTGTCTTGATAATGCACTACTTTTAGGTCATTTTATATTTAGTTTTGAACTTTTAAATATTTAGGCCTCATGCATCACTGAAGAGGCATGAATTTTAAAAGGCGCATCTGGTGCAGTAAAATTGGTACCATTAATGTTATCATATATACTCCTCTGTGTTATTTTACATGTAACATACCTTTTTCAGTAAATCTTTACTTTTGTGATGGAAGTAACCCACTATGAACACACCTGAAATAGAGATTCCATTGTATGACAAAAATGCTGCCAATGGCAAATAAACAAAATAGTTTTTGGGCCATACAAAATTGGGTACAAAAGCCTAGTTTATGAAGTTGAAGTAGAAGAAATATTGTTCATTCAGGGAAGTTTCAAACTTAATTAATATTAACATGTATGGTTTAAAAAACATATTATCTAAAATGGCTTCCAGAAAAATTTAAGATAGCTGGACATTATATTTTGATCTCGTTTTTTGATCTCTTTATACTTGGTAACTAAAGGTATTCAAGACAATCAAGGAAACCACTGGGTAATAAGGGTAATGTTCAATTTGGTCACAACACATAAAGAAGATTTTTATTTACACTTTTGATATGTATGGATTTCTGTAAACTGACCGTATCTCATGCTTAATTTGAAAGCAGTTCCCTTCACTGAGAGCTCATTATTCTGTCAGGTATTTGAACAGCTGTATCTTACCTGTCGAAAAACCAATTAACCTTGATATATAGTTTTTACTGGTTTAGTGATAGTGTTTAATTAGGGCTTGTTTATACAGTAAATATTCCTCATTGAACTTGCAGCAAGGGAGGTGAGTTTTTGAACCATGTTTAAGTAGATATAAGAAGATGTGGTATGAGTGCCAATGAGACAACTCTCCATCCAAGTCAAAATTTATAAAAGTAACCCATTATAGATCTTGTTGTGACTTTGTGATGAAGAACAGCAATAAAAGCACTATACTATTATCTTTGTTTTTTTTATACATGTGTGGACGTGTAGTGAATTGATACACCATATCCTTTCTTTTCAACCATAATCCTTAAAGTACATTGAATTTTATAAGACGTTTCATGATCAGGCAATGGCAATTTATGTCAAATTGTATGTAACAATCAAAATTGTTTTATTTTTACGTTGTGTACATCTTAATTCTGTAAATCAACTCAAATTCTCCATGGCTTTTTCAAATATTAAAAAAATTGTAATTCAAGATAAAAAATTCTAACCTCCAGGTAGATATGTATCAATGTCTTCCAATTCTGCTAACACATTATTAGACATACAACGGACACATGCAGAAACTGTCAAAATATCATCACTTGAGTAACCTATCAATAACCCCACCGCTTTGTCATCTTTACAACTGATCTGTTGTAGTTGCTGAAAAGTCAGAAATATCAAATTTTAACATTTTAAATAAACAGTGCATTAGCATGATGAATTCATACAACTACTGTAAATTCAGAAATTACTGCATGCATTTATTATTGAGATTTTTGAAGACTGAACAATAAACTGTTATCACAGAGATATGTCTCGCCTTTTTGTAATTTTGATAATGCAAATGTTGAAATTAAAATAGTAATACTTTAACATGTAAGTTATGCAAAAGTTTCAAAGTCGATGAACCATGACTGAGGGGGCGGGCCAAATATTCTCCATGGAAATGAGATGTGCTAATGCTTATACAATTGAACACCAATTTACATTGGCCTACCACTAATGGTTCCCCTTGAACTGACCTAATCACAAACTAATACATGTAAACTTAGCAAAATTTTCAAAGTCTATAGACCATGACTTATGGGGCGGAGCCAAATAATCTCCATGGAAATGAGATATGCCAATGCTTATACAACTGCATACCAAATATCATTGACCTACCACTAGTGGTTCCCCATAAATTGACCTAATCACAAACTAATACATGTAAACTATGAAAAGTTTCAAAGTCAATAGACCTTGACTGAGGGGGCAGGGCCAAATAATCTTCATGGTAATGAGATGTGCCAATGCTAATACAACTGCATACCAAATATCATTGACCTACCACTAGTGGTTCACCATGAACTAGACCTAATCACAAATTAATACATTGTTTACGCTGCCGCTGACGCCGGGAACAGCATACCTATGTCTCGCTTTTTGACTCCGTCAAGGCGAGACAAAAATGGGAGATTAATGATAGCGATTTCAGAAAAATCTTCATACATGTCATACAGATATATATACATGTATCAGGTGTATCATAATGGGTGTTGTTATTATTGCCATACTTACCCTGTCACATTATTGTGGGTCTCATTTGGGTGTAAGTGTGATGCGGGTTTAGCCGATTTTTTGTAAGCGTGACACATGAAAAGTCAAATACTTTGCGTTAAAACCGGAAACGAAGTCAGGCGGGACATGTGAAATTACAAGCGCTATTATTACAATGATGAGCGGGATACGGGATTCTGACAAAACAATAAGCGGGATCCGGGATCAGACTCCCCCAATGAGACCCCCCATTATTCGCATTAATAAAAAGCTCACATTAATTTGTGAATTTACAGTATTATTGACTATAATGTAAGGTACTGGGGAATGTTATATTGAAACAAATGGGTATTAAATTGTGCAGTGTAATTTATAAGTAAATACTTAATTTGTGGCAAGATTGACAAATATTTTATAATGATTTTTTTTTACAATTGTGGCAGTAATCCACTATACTTATTACTATGATCACAAGTCAAAATTCAAGCTTTTACCAAATATTATCTTTTAAACTTAATGGTAGTGTTCTTACGCATAGTAACTTGGCTCGCAGCGAGCAAGCGAAACATTTTACATTTGTAATCAAAGATATGGCATTAATTTACTATTTTTATGGATTTCACAAGCCAAAGTTTCACTTTTTGCCAATAAATTACAGGGGGAGGCATTTCATTAGCCAAAACATAGTTTTACAAGTTAGGTGTGTACATATGTTGGTACTAGGGTGATATATATCCAGTAAAGCAACTGATTTTATGTGAAAGCTCTGGAATTTGAAATGAGTTTATCATTGTTTACATTTTTTTGTGTACAAGTGTTACGGCAGGGAATGTATGTAATTACTCATGGGTTACCTTCTCCATGCTATATATCATGTAATTCCCGTATTAAGGATCATTTCTGGTAACCAAATATTCATATTTAAACATCTGATATGCCTGGTATACATAGGGAAATACTTTAACTGCAATTGTTTACTGACCGGCGATTTTGCCGTCTGCCATTTTGTGGGGAATGAAACGTTGATTTTATCTCTCTTAATACCAATTCGTCCCCTGGACAATTGATCTAATATTGTATTTTTAATACCACACATTTAATATCTTATGGTCATACCCTGCCGGACACAAATATATTGTAAATATTTAGATGGTTGTGATGAACTATGTTTTAATGTTATTTACTTCTATTTACTTGCGAATATCGTCTGCTAAATTAATGCGCATGCAGTGGTGTCCGATTGCATATTTCAAGTTATTTTATTGATATTATGAGCTCTATTGTTTAGTTTTAATGTTTTATGTTAAAGGACAATCATAGGACAACTCAAGATGATTTCAATTCTATGTTTTTCAATATCGTAATTTTGTATAGTTCCAGCTTCCCGGAAAGGACAAGTAACTATTGGATTAGTATGTCACGTGACACTTATGACTTTTGTATATAAACGCGTGAGCATTCAGTAATGGCAGATAGCCCAGAGTTCTGCTGGCGGCAAGTTCAAAAAGTTCACTATCATTAAAATTGTAAACAAAGCAGTAAAAATAGGCTTAAGGTGAGCATAAGGATAAATATGGAATATTAGTAGCCGTCTTTTTGTACAGTAAGCTATCTCCCACCACGTCGGACACCACAAATATGAATTTAGATCGTAATTTAGTTCCTATGCACTATGATATATTATACTGTATGCAAGTATTAGAATTGTCATAATTCGTTATTTATTCAAATATATTTAAACAGTTCCACAAATAAAACTGTTAACATTGAAATGATATTCTATCTTTATCAATCTTGGATACATATAAAAAAAAAAGGAATATGCATTTACACTGGTAAAACAACTTGAGCTGGAGGACGCTCGTTCAAAATTAAAACTATGGAAAGCCGTTAGCAACACAAATAGCACAGTAACAAATAAATACAAAGGAAGCCGTTTAATACACATACATTAACCAAACAGAGGAACTATATTTAAACACAAACTGAGGTGCTCCGGGGAGCAGATACTGCATTTTATGAGTGTTCGTATGTAAACTGCCCAGTATAGGACAGGATACTCTCGGGTTGCTTACAATAAACATGATAAAAAGATAGTCATAGGCAGAGGCACATGTACAGAAAGTAAAAATTCTGTGATTTATTTTTTTAAACTTTCTATGGTAAAAAGTAGAGAATTTTTTTTTATTTTAAATTTTCACCTGAAATAGAAATGAAAAGCAGATATGACGACATATTTTTGTGTCTTTAAGTTAGTGTCTCATTGATGTCATTAACCAAATGCTACTTCTATTCAATGATTATTTCCCAAAAGGATTTGTAATTGGTAATACTTAGTATATGTAAGAGAATGATAATCCCTTTCTTCATGATTAAGTACATATTCCAAAATAATGTTTTAAATAGCTCTTATAACAAGAAGTTGAAAAAGAGTTAAGGGATTGCTTCAGTAATTTTAATCAGAGGATAACTCTTTCCAAAGATAAATGTTTAAACCATATAGTAAACATCTGAAACAAAGCATTTTTATTACTTTAATTTGTCTTTAATAAATTGATTCACCAACTATCAATATTTCCATATGTTCTCTTTCAAAAATTTCCTCCCTCAGCTCATACACCTTATCGCTATTTAGTTCAATCACTTAGACAAATTCCTGTTTGTGTCAAGTGTCGATAAAACAGTAATGAGCTGAGGGAGGAAAAAGTTTATGAAAATAATTTTAATAGATTATGATCCAATTTCTTGAAACACAATGTAAAGTAATAAAAATGCTTTGTTTTTAAAAAGATTTGCTATGGTTTAAACATGTCTCTTTAAAAAGTTTTATGCATAATACATAGTTAAAACAGGGTCCCAGATAACTTCAACTGGTTTGTAACATATTGAAAAAAAATGTGTAATTTCAGAACTTATAAATCAGGATTGGAATAAATGATCATATTAACATATATAGTCCAAAAAATTATGACGTCTTGAAAGGCTATTATATTTTTTGTCTTTGACGCCTTACATCAACGGAAGGAGTCAAAGCAAAAATTTAAAATAGCCTTCCAAGACGTCATAATTATTTGGACTAATTTACATAGTGATAAGTAAGGTGCATTACTGACATGACTAATGACCTTTGTTGTGGCAACGCTTGACCTCAACCAGAATTTTTTAAGTAACTGTTTTTTTTTTCCAGATTTGACTAAATAGAAATAAGGTTTATTAGACACTCCACAAAGATTTGATTAAGGACCCCTGTCACTTTTTAGAAAAGTGTTTGTATAGTTGAAAGTCCAACGGGACTATAACTGATCATAACTTTAATGGTTCTTGTAAGGTTGTGTTTGGTGATGTGCAGTTCATACACAAAACCGTGTGAGCAGTGGACATGGTGGATGTCACAGTCTTAGAGCCATAGAGGAGTCGTCGTAGAGAGAGGGTTACCATATTGACGATGTTACAGTTACTTAAAGATAACGGTATAGTATTCTCAGATATGGTTTTGTTGATAAAAAATAAAAGAAATTAATAAATGAACACTTTGTTTTGTCAAACCTTCGCAACAGACGAATGACAGATGATTATTCGTGGCATCTTCTCCTAACACTTCGCACATGAAGTCTACACTTCCGGTTTTAGTATGCGTATGAATCTCAAAATGAAAGTGAAAGTAAGAAAAAAAATAACCTTAATTTTTCGAACTAGTTACAAGGGTGTATTGCCCATTCATACTAAATTAATAATTTCAGTATGAGCTATATAATTGGAATATAACAAATACGTAGTAAAAATAAATAAATACTACCTTTAAATACGAAATAATATATATGCACTATATTTTTCTAGTAAAGACTTCTCTTTGAAGTCGTCTGCTAATTACTTTCGCTTTGTCCTAAATGACCACAGCATCTGATCATCGTTTAACATTTACCCAGGTGTTAAGTTCTACAGCTTTATCAGCATGTATAAGTCGAACCTTAACTGCACCACTAGATGTTCTCAAAATAACAAAACAAGTAGGCACAGTTGAGTCAAAAAGCAGTCTACAGAGTCTATGTAAACATCTGAGAAAACATGATGGGGTACGCGGATGCTGGAAAGGAAACATGATAGGCTGTATAAAAGTCTTACCTCACTCCTGGATTCATTATCTGATTTATCAACAATTAAAATGGGAATTTTCAGATGAGCTTGGTAGATTGTCAATAGGAAAAAGACTTGCCACAGGAATTGCTGCAGGAATTGTGTCTACAGTAGCAGTTTATCCATTAGACTTAGTCAAAACCAGAACTATTATTCAGCCATATGATAAAAGATTATCTGCATATAAAGGAGTTACAGATACATTCCAAAAAATCTTATTTAACGAAGGAAAGGGTACTTTTTACAAAGGACTACTAACCACTCTAATTGGTAAGAAAATGCACCCCCTTTCCCTAAAAAATATGAATAAGTAGATAAAAAAGAGAGTGTACAAAGTGTAAAACAACATAAGGTTTAAGAATTTTTTGGAAGACAAATACTTAGTAAAACCAGTTTAAAGAATAATTAAAATGAGATGAAGTATGATCGGGTATAGGTCAATAAGACATCATATATATATATATATATATATATATAAACAAGTCTAAATTGAAAACAACGTTCAAACCTATGATTGCGTTGGATAAAAACCGCAATTTTTATACGTGTGCATGCAAAACAAATTTCTTGGTAGAGGGGTCTAAATACAGCACAAACAACATTTTCCAAAAGACCAAAAGTGAAAAAGTATATTTTAACAAAACGCATTTGACTAGCAGGTCGAACAACGGATGTTCTTAAACCCTGCTGACTGCCATGGCGATTGCCAAATAAACTGATCACAGATGTAACAAAATGGATCTTAATTTTAATCTAATACCAAATAGAAAACAAAAAACTTGCGGAAAAGATGGTAAACCGCAAACATGAGGTGCAAAAATTTGTACACCATATCCGGATTTCGACAATTAATGTCTCTTCAGTGATGTTAGGAATCGAAACGGTATTTGGAAGGCCATATAATTTACCTCAATTTGGGATTGACTCTTGAATTTTGAAGAGTCGAAATAGGATGAACGGATCATATAAACCCGAAGGCAACTATAATACAAGCCCAAACGAAAAAATATAAACAAGTCTAAATTGAAAACAACGTTCAAACCTATGATTGCGTTGGATAAAAACTGCAATTTTTATACGTGTGCATGCAAAACAAATTTCTTGGTAGAGGGGTCTAAATACAGCACAAACAACATTTTCCAAAAGACCAAAAAGTGAAAAAGTATATTTTAACAAAACGCATTTGACTAGCAGGTCGAACAACGGATGTTCTTAAACCCTGCTGACTGCCATGGCGATTGCCAAATAAACGGATCACAGATGTAACAAAATGGATCTTAATTTTAATCTAATACCAAATAGAAAACAAAAAACTTGCGGAAAAGATGGTATACCGCAAACATGAGGTGCAAAAATTTGTACACCATATCCGGATTTCGACAATTAATGTCTCTTCAGTGATGTTAGGAATTGAAACGGTATTTGGAAGGCCATATAATTTACCTCAATTTGGGATTGACTCTTGAATTTTGAAGAGTCGAAATAGGATGAACGGATCATATAAACCCGAAGGCAAATATAATACAAGCCCAAACGAAAAAATATAAACAAGTCTAAATTGAAAACAACGTTCAAACCTATGATTGCGTTGGATAAAAACCGCAATTTTTATACGTGTGCATGCAAAACAAATTTCTTGGTAGAGGGGTCTAAATACAGCACAAACAACATTTTCCAAAAGACCAAAAAGTGAAAAAGTATATTTTAACAAAACGCATTTGACTAGCAGGTCGAACAACGGATGTTCTTTAACCCTGCTGACTGCCATGGCGATTGCCAAATAAACGGATCACAGATGTAACAAAATGGATCTTAATTTTAATCTAATACCAAATAGAAAACAAAAAACTTGCGGAAAAGATGGTATACCGCAAACATGAGGTGCAAAAATTTGTACACCATATCCGGATTTCGACAATTAATGTCTCTTCAGTGATGTTGGGAATCGAAACGGTATTTGGAAGGCCATATAATTTACCTCAATTTGGGATTGACTCTTTGAATTTTGTATATATATATATATTCCTATGGCACCTAAAATAGAGACATTAAGCAAATGCTTATAGAAAAGTTTTGCCTCTTTTTTTGTTTTTATGTTCAAAATGCTCTCAATAAAGGTAAGTTAAATGATAATATGTAATATATTAGTCCTAATGTGGTTTGGATTCATCTATATATATATAAAAAGAAAAGTTCTATCATTATTTTATGGCATAAAGCAACCATCAATCAATCATTCAATCTCCAATCTTGTTTTCTGATTTTTCTTGTTTTTGTTCCAGGATCTGTACCCTATGCCATTACCACATTTTTAATGTATGAGGTCCTTGATCAGTTATGGATACAACCAAGATACAACCATTCAACTGTTGAAGTTATGCTTCATGGATGTCTAGCCTCCACTGCTGCTATGACTGTTTCATTTCCATTCGATGTTGTCAGAAGAAAAATGCAGGTATCAACATAACCATTGGGTGTTTATATATTTTAGCTTATATTTATAATAGTTTCATTACATGTATGTTTTATAAAAATCTGTACTTTTAATTGGCTGACGACAAGCGCAAGTCTTTCAAAAATGAGATTTCTCAATAAAATGCAACACTCATGACTGCACATGCTTCCCATAAAGACATCACAACAATGCATAATAAATACAAACGAAAAGCTATAATTTGCAATTTCATCGTTGTTGCATAAAAGTGTAATTATAAAAACTAAATGCTTTTTTTTGTAATTTTATATGGCTGTACAAGCATTGATCGTGCACACATTTTTACTATGAAGCACTTTTGGAATTCATACCAAATGTGCTTGGTCAACACTTTAACACCCTAATAAAATTGCAAAAGGAAGCATTAAATTCTCAAATACTGGCTAAGACAAGGGATCTATATTATCGAAATGAAGCCATCTTTCACCAAAAAAGAAAGACAACTAATACATTAATATTTGTTCAATTTTAAATATTGCTATGCATGTGTAGTCTTTCTCAAGTTCTCAACAGAATTCATAGTTGCAGCATTTTTTTTGTGTACTAGTATCCTTTCATTATTTTCAAATATTTTGAAGAAACCAGATGGATGAATGACTGTTAAATGCCCAGCAGCAAATTAAATACATATTCAGAACAAGGTCATGGTAATGATATATGAATAAACACCCTGCTTTGTATTAGACCATCACACTGAGCCCGATTTTGAACGTGTTATTTCACCACTATAGTCCACAGGAAGACATGTCACCCTACCAGGAAACAATATTCTGAAATATTTTGTCAAATTTTATTTACAGGCACAAAGTCCAGTTTTGGTCAATAATGGTGGAGTGGATGTTACATTTAAAGGACCCAAAGATTGTTTCAGGGCTATAGCACAATTCCAAGGAATAAAAGGTTTTTGGCAAGGATTGACTCCAGCTTTGATCAGGGTATCTTCATGTTACATGTAGAATCAAATCAAAGAGCCATTAAATATCTAAATAATGAAGAAAGGTTGCACTTATATCAAATTTAAATTTTTTCAAATCCTTAACTAACAAAGTCTTAAATTTTTACTTCAATCGGTCATTCTTGTGTATTGTTTGACAATTTTTTCCATTAAGGTGGTACATAACACTACAGGGAGATAACTCTGTAAAAATCAGTTGAACGGTTTAATCACATTCTATTGTTAAGGAAATATTAAGCTTCTTTTATATTTTTGTCAAAGGGTCAAAGTAAATATTTTGTCAAAATTTTATGAAAATTAAACGAGCCAAATTAATTTTAGTCAAGGTGTTTGGTACCACCTTAAGTACAATTCACCAAAAGAAAACCAAAATTCTTAGTAACCTACTTTGATTGATTTTTTTAAAATGGACTTTATAACCTGTTGCCAAAAAAATAACTTTCAGTAGAAGAAATGTATACATGTATATGAGGCAACTAAGGCATCAACCTCAAAGCAATGATATTAAATTCCGAAAAATGGACAACTGAATTTCAGCTGATTTTGACAACAAATAACATTGGTTTATATGTACATTTAATTTGATTATATAACAACTATATTCTTGCCTCGATAACTTTCTACAGTTTAATTTCAGGTGTTTCCATACCATGCTTTGATGTTTTTATCCTTTGATTTGTGTAAGAAGTTATGCCTATACCAAAATGGATATTCCCAAAGTATGATTGACCATGCAATGGACCAGAATATTGATTTAGATGAACTACAAGAAATATTAGACTACGACATTGAACTTCCACAGGATCAAATTTCTAATGAAAGTTGAAATACAGTGTTCACCTACAAGAGGATAAATACACATATTACTATGAATTGGTGTAATACAAATACCCTGACAACTCACAAGAATGTCAATACATTTTTATTAAACATTTTTTAATTTTAAAAAGTTAAAACTTATTTCTCAATAATTCCATTTTTAACGTTAAATTCATTCCAATGTTTTATGTTCAGTGTGGCTCATGGCAACCAAATTGTTTATACATGTTTAAACCAATTTTATGACATCAAGACCAGACAAGAGTATGAATTCCCACACAGGTGAACTAGTTCTGTAAGTGATGTTGAAATATTTTATCTGGACAAAATTGTTCATGCATTATACATTAATTATATGTAATGAAATAGAAAAACAAAGGATATGGGGTATCCATCCATGACACAAAATCAGATCATGCACAGCAAAAAATACACAAAAGCAAAGGAACAGCGCTTTTATTGCTGTTCTTCATCTTAAAGTCACAGTGAGGCCTTCATAATTAAGGTTATTTTTACAAAGTTTATTGATGTGTAAACTTGGCCTTTCAGTCACAAATTTTGAACCAATTCATTTTCACAGAAAACCATTCACTTGTTCATACTTTGCCTCCAACCTTATGGCAGAGAGTATTCCATGTTTTTATTAATCCAAAAAATTCATAACTGTTCCCGCAGAACCCAGTGTCTCGCCTGATTTCACTGTTGTCTATGTTTTCATTGTTATTATAACTTGAATCCTGGACTGTATCTTAATTTTAATGTTAACCATCAAAAAAACTAAGTTCATTTATCAATAAAATACAGAATAAACTGCTTCGCCGAGCGCAGCTGGATACGACCGCAGAGGTCCAACCCTGAACAATTGGGGCAAAAATGGACACAATATTCAAGCTTGATACAGGTCTGAATTTGGATTGTAATTAAATATTTGACACATTATAGGTTTCTGACACAGAATAAATGTAGTCAAAGAACTTGAAATTGGTTATATGATTTGAATTTATATTCAATTAAAGATTTCTTGCTGTTGTGCAATACACTGTGCTGTTGGGCAATACTTAGTAAATCTGTTTTCAGCCTATATACAAAAAATTAGGAAAATAAATTGTGACCCTTAATTTTTTTTTTTGGAAAATTGATAATTTCTTAAATCTTGAGAGGAAAAAATTGACCCCCCCCCCCCCCCCCCCCCCCCTCCAAAAAAAAATATTTGAAGAAATTTTCTTTTTGTAAAACGTGGTACCATACACTTAAACACAAGTTATTGTCTGAAAACTAGAAAATTGCTTGTTTTGGCCCCTTTTTGGCCCCTTATTCCTAAATGGTTGGGACCATCACCCACAAAAACAATCACAACCTTCCTTGAGGGGCGTAAAGGGGGGTATCTGCACGGAAGAACGCGAAATAAAATTGCCATTTCACGATGAACGAACAATTAAAAATTTCTTGCACATTGATCTTTTTACTGATTTCACGAAACACGGTGAATAAGAACCTTTTTCACGGCTGCAAGTGAAATAAAAATGGCAAAACACGTTGCACAAAAATAATCCTTTACCACCCTCTTCCTTTTGTGGTATTGAACCTGTTGATTAAATTTCATAGAGATCCATACACTTAAACTAAAGATATTGTCCGGAAACCCAACGTCTTCGGACGACGATGTGATAGCATTATACGAACACAAATTTTTTGTGGTCGTATAAAAATGAAACAAATATTTCCAAATTTTGCTCTGGATACCGTCTTTTGGCCGTACAAATGCCCCTTTCCAAATTACATAACATTCCATACAATTTTGACAAATTTATTCATATTTAAAACTTTAACCACAGAACGAACCTAGATTTTGATGCCTATGACACAATCTAGGATTGCTATGTCTAGCCTTCGGAACATAAATGTTGCAGGCTCGACAAAAAGTGCTTCGAATGCAAATTGAGGTTTCTTATTTTTATTTTCAGCATTTTTTATTATGGCAATTAACAAACAGCATTATAAGTGGTCAAATATATATTTTTATACCATAATTATAAAATTACATATATTAAGCAGATCGATCACAATATTTTATCATATGTCAAAATATTTGTAAGTACATAATTGTGAAACTCAATAACAAATGAGGCAATAACTTAATATATATTTTTAAACAGAGCAGTCTAATACCTTAGCATATTATGTATTTGTATTCACATTTATTCTAGTTCAGTTTGTTTAGGATTGATTGTATTTTTTGCAAAACAGCATGTGTACTAACTAAGCCCCACAACTTAACATTTAGATTGATTAATTGGTTGTTGATGTGAAGCACCACTTTCAGCATACCTGGCCAAATCATGGTGGCCATTTTTTATAGAGGTTTCCGTAGTACCCTAGGAGAACCATCAACCTTCAGCAGAAAACTGGCAATCCTAGTCCATTAAGGTCAGTGTCTAATGGACCTTGCCAAGATTAGGGTTAAAACTCACAAACAAAAGGGTTTACAGGCTTGGTCATTGTAAATGAACTACTTAGACCACTCAGCCACCAAGGCCCATCTAAAATTTAGAAATTGTTATAATGAATTTGTGGAAAAAGGTACTTTTTGAATGAAATATAATACGATCCTCTTTTAAGTCTAAGGATTCAATATAAAAAAAAATCAATTGAAAATAAAATTCTTAATAATGATTGTCTTCGAAAACATGCAATTGTTGCTCATTAAAGAACTAGATAATCTTTTGTTAAAATGTAACTTCTGCATTTTTTTATTTCCTGTTTTTTAAAAAAAATAATTTTAAATTGAAGCAAGAAGATGTGGCTATTTGAAATAATACTCTGCTGTGAAAAGCTTAAACTGATGGAAAAGCATTAAATTAAATTTTGAATGATCCAACTATGCAAAAATATCACTAGATACCAACATTTTATTTAAATGTTTTATTTGCTTAAAAGTGATCTGGTGACCTGAGGAAATGTTTAAAAGCGACCTTCAGGGGTACCTAATGAACCCCACCTATACTTGAAACAAAAAAAAAACATTATTCTAGCTTGAGTTGTAAGGCATTGTGTTACTAGACGTCTTTTGCCATCATTTAAGGGGTTTTAAGATGGAAATATTCTATCAATATAAGATTTATGATAAAATAAACTTCATAGAAAAACATAACAAAAGTTGCTCAAATGTAAAATGTAGGTCACAATCACTGAATTGTCTCTTGATATATCTTGTAATATCTTAAATATTATATAATAGAATCCTAATTTGAGATTTTCAATGGCACAAAAATACTTTTTTTAAGAATTGAAGAACATTGTGACTTAAATATTCTGTTGAACAATGATGTATTATATTGTAGGATTTTAATGGTGAAAGATACAAGTATCATGTTCATGGGATACTGAAAAATGAACCTCATTCACAAAACTAATCAATGTCAGATCATCAAAAGTAAATCTATTTGCTACCACCACATTCATGCCATGCAATAAAATAATAGAAAAGTCATCTGCTCCTGCTTTCATTTAACAAAAATAAATTAGTTACTGTTTCTATTAATAATTTAGGTCTTTCCAACAGAACCAAGAAATAATTTCAATAGAACCAAGGTATTTCCATTTTTAAATCTGATGTCAAACATAACCACATGAAATCAATTTGTGAAATTTACACACTGTGGAATCATTTATTTTCAAGGGACCAAAATTTTTCGTAGAATGAGGAAAACTTCTGTTTTCGTATAGGAAATGTGTACTTCTTGAAGGTGGATCATCTGTACATACATGTATTTCCTGAGATAGTTTAACTTTCTTACAATGTGCCAAAATGTAGATTTTACCATGCTTTTTTCAATAATATTATGAAAAGTAAGGGTCACTAACTCACTGTGCTATTTTTCAAAATACAAGTCGTGCAAAACTGCCGACTTTTGCATAGATTATTCATGAAAAAACACTTTTTTGAGGTTAAAAAGAATTAAATGGGATAGAATTTTGAAATAAAATATGAGAAGATATGTATTATAATATGCTTTAAGAAAATAAAAAGAAAAAATGGTGTCACAGAATTTGTTTTCTTGCTTCAAGTAAAAAATGAAAATTTCCTTAACATTCCTTTATAAAAATTATATTAAAAGAATTATCTCCCCTTATATGGGGAAGTTGAAAAATTGAATTAAACAAAAGTTTGGAATTTGTTAAATCAGACTACAAAATGCAATAAATCACTAATTTTATTTATTTAAATAAACAGTATTACACATTAAATACCAGTCTGTCGAAATCAAGATTTAAGCAAAGAACTAGACCAACTGCTATTTTACACAATCCAAGATGGCGGTATACAGTTAATCTACCTAATATTTAAAATTGTAGTTTACCTATACCCACAAAATCCAAGTAAATTGGTATCTCACAAATAATAAAGAATCAACAGTATGATAAATAAAATAAAATTGTTGGAATTTTTTATTTAGTTTAAGGTTACATTAATTCTTAGAGTTCAATTTCTATTTATTTTTTGTGAGCTCTTTTTTTTTTTATGAAATACAGCTGACCTATTGAAACCTGTATGGGAGGTCAAGGTCATTAAACAATCCCATAGTATTATTAATTGTCATGGATGTACTATTTTATTAGCATTCATTTTCGTTATCTGTACATATGTATAAAAAACATCTGAAACAATAAGTATGAACTACCACCTTTTAGAAAGGTAATTAACAACTATAACCATAATTTAAATTAATACAGCATTAAGCAATTAATTCAAATGATAAATTATTACAAAATTTTCTACATTTTGGCTTGTTTTTAATACTTGAATCATTTATACACAGAAGACTATATCAAGTTTTAAAGACATATCAATATAAATGCATAAAATGTTGGTTTTTTTCACAATACATGTATCACATTTTATGTCGCTTTAGTAATTTATATTAAGATATACACCAATCTCGATTAATTTTTTCATGAATGAGTTATATCGGTTGAATCGAGGAAGGGGGAGGAATTTAACTGTTTTATGTATTCTATACACAACAAAATCATCAGAAAACAGTTGAATTATTTTCCAAAACTGCATCGATTGTAATCTTGATTTGATCTCTCTTGGTTGCTCTTACTTGTCAAGAGTACCAGAATGTCCGACCACTCCGAAGTCAAAAGTCATTGATATCAAAATAGTCTATTCAAGATGATGAAAAATTACTAGTTTATATATATATATGTAGAGTATTACAATACTGTAGTGTATCGATGTACTGACAAAGATTTAAATTAGTATTTAAATTGCGGAAGACTTCAAAATGTATATTCTTGTAAAAATGTATGAAAATAACAACACCAATATAAATATTAAAGCTTTCAGTGATGAATTATATTTCTATATCATAAAATCCAAACACATATTAGATGGTGATTTTCTGAAGGTCTGGATGGGGTTTAACGAATATATAGAATAATGGGCAAAATAATAAAGAATAGAGAAAAATGGCGAAAATTATAAACAATAGTAAAAAAATGGCTGAAAAATTATATGAAGACAGAAACGAAGACCCCATTCCAGACCCTCATGTAGAAATGAAGACCCGATTCCTGACCCTAGTGTAGAAATGTATCTAATAATACAATGTGTTATACAAATGTATCAGCATTTAAAAAATATAATCATTACATGTACAATGTAATTATAAAACTGGCACTATTAAGTAAGTCATAAACAATCATAAAAAAGCTGGAAACAATATGGTCCATTTCTATAAGGAATGACAATAAATGTTTTCCTGAGAAACCTGGTAATTAAATCACAATAGTCAAGCAATTTGCAAAATCTTAATCTTATTACATTAATAGCACTATGAAAAACAAGATTATATCATGTTTTAAATTTGTCCTAAAACCAATTTAATAATAAATCATATATATATATGTTTACAAAGTCATCTGTTGATTTTGACCTGTATTCAAATCTATACATAAATATTCTTTATTAAAGTTTAATTTGTTACATTTTTTATAATGTTAAATATTCATGTTTGTAAATAGCAAATAACACAATTAGAAATACTGCACTTTTTTACTGGCATGTTGTTACACAAATTACAACTGCTCTAGAATAAACAGGCCATCGAAAACAAGATTGGTTTCTGTTTTTCGGTATTTTTTTTTTCACTTTCCATGTACTATAAGCACTGATTTACAAGTACTAAAAATTGACAAACCAGGCTTGGGTCTAGTATTTGAGGTTAGAGTCGTGTGACCTTACAACATGTACAAGTTCAAGGAGCAAGGTGAAAAAAATTTTGAATGTTTTATGCCAAAATTTCTCCCCTGAATATGCCTTTACTAACCACACAAATAATAACCAAAATAAAATTACCTCCAATTTTTTCTCCTTATTGATGTCAGAGTATAATTACTTAACATCTGACATGCAAATCCTTACATGGTTTCTCTTTCCTGCTTTTGTGTGAAATTTCATTGAAATCAACCAGACAGTTGTACTTACAAAATCATTGACAAGACAAAAAAATAAACAGGGTGGTTTCTATACGCACCCGAAACTTTGTTTTTTGCAGGTATAAAAGCAATGATAATAAATCAAAATAATGGCCAAGTAAAGCATTATGAACAAAAATATATAAAGGTAAATAAACAAATGTGGCTTAGCTAAAAGTTTCAGTCAAGAGTCTCTTTTTTTTCTATATTAGAACCTGATACACATTTCACAATTATATAAATGTTGCAAACTATATTTACACTTTAACCTTAATCGTAGCATATTTTGCAAAACATTTCTTTTATTTCTTATTATACTTAAAGACATATCCAACAGCACTGCAGAAACTATTACACATATTTTGGTCAACATGTTAAAATGTTTTCATTTCAAATTGCAACAGAAATAAATAAACATGTAGATATATACAACAGCTTTACTCACATCAAGCTGTTGAACAAAGTTCACACATTAACTTTGGTATCCTACAAATGAAAGCTCTGCCCTTTCTTCATAAGACAGTGGCACTCCAGTCCAGTTTTTAAAGGAGTTGCTAATCAGAAAAACAAGGTTTATCAAATTTTCATCTCTACATAGGTCAATATAAAATTACCATACAATTAATCACAGAAATGTACTGTTTTGGTAGAGACTTAACACTGTGTTCGATATATTCATTGTCAATAAAGAGGAATTTGAAGACTAACTCGGACAGAGGTCACACAGGACCAATAAATGGATAATTTCCTCTCTCCATCAGTCCACCTAATGTCTGTAATAAATCTTGAAATGATGGACGTCCATCTGCATCCTTAAAAGAGAAAGTCAATAAATTATTTTACTATATACTTGGTAGTGAATACAAGTGAGTTGTATGTGTAATACAATTAATAGTGGGAGGGTTAAGAGATGGTGTCATCCCAAATTCTCGGAATGAGCTCTGAATTTCAAATTCCCCCAAAAAATAAAGCATTCATTCTTGGATCACAAAAAGTTAATCAGTAGTTCCTTAGTCCCAATAAGTGTCAATTCTGAATTCCTGCAAAAATAAAGGCCCAATCCAGATGTCCTGAAAAAGTTCTTTCTGACCCTCATCAATGGCAATCATGCTTTATCAGCTACCAGCTGGGAGAGACATTGATATCAGTCACTGTTGCAAAGGCTTTATCTTATCCAATAATCCATATGACATAATTTCTATCAGTCATGGTTGCAAAGGCTTATCTTATCCAATAATCCGTATGACATAATTTCTATCAATCATGGTTGCAAAGGCTTATCTTATCCAATAATCCGTATGACATCATTTCTATCATTCATGGTTGCAAAGGCTTTATCTTATCCAATAATCCGTATGACATCATTTCTATCAGTCATGGTTGCAAAGGCTTTATCTTATCCAATAATCCGTATGACATCATTTCTATCAGTCATGGTTGCAAAGGCTTTATCAAACCCTTAATTTGCATGATTTTACCTCATGTCATGTGAAAAACTCTACTTGGCTTCTGTAGGAGATTTTTCCATTTTTTTCTTTCAATTCATTGATTATTTCCTCAAATTTATTTTTTTAAGACTGATTGTTTTACAACCTTTAAGTAGATCCAGAGATGAGATATAACAAATTACTGATGATTCATTATTATTTGTGGGTACTATTTTTCATGGATTTCATGAGTAAAGGTGAACCAACAATTTAAGTTTTCAACTAAGTTCAAAAATTCTAAAGGCTTGTATGCAGATTACATGGAATATGTCAAAACCATGAAATGAAGGGTCCATGAAAATCTTTTTTTTCCTCCACCCACGAAAATTAGTACCAATGAAAATGAATGAATCTACAGTAAGCACTAAAATACTGAGCCATACGGTTGCCTATAATTGCTTACATCCACTTTATTTGAACTTTGGTGGATAGTTATCTCATTGGCAATCATACCACATCTCCTTATTTTTATATTGTTTTGTCTGAACCACAATCATCCCATATTCATTATTCAAAAGAGATGAGAATATTTGCTCATATTCAGGATTTCTGAAAACAAATATCTGCTTGAATAAAAACACATCTGATGGCCAATTATTTACTCACATGACTAAAACACTTCATCATAACTTGATAAACTTTTTCTGGACAACTTTGAGGCTGTTCTAATCGTCTACGAGACTGACAGACATAATCAACGACGTCAACATTCTTCATTTTATCATATGGCATTTGACCTCCGGTGAAAGTTTCCCACATAAGCACTCCTGCAATATAAACATACACTTGTTACCAAGAACAAAAATTTGTGTGAGATAACCAATGGTTTTGGATGTCGACAAACCTCTGCGATATAATTAATTTGTAGTTAATGTGTCATAAAAATTTCAATCTTAGTTCATCTTCTACATGTAGTATAAGGGCAATTAAAAATTTAATTTGTAGTTAATGCCTGTAATAAAAATACCAATCCTAATTCATCTTCTAGTATAAGGGCAATTAAAAATTTAAAAAAAAGAATGTGAGAGGGTATCAAGGGAGGTATTTTACATACATGGGTGTTAGATCATTTATGGTTGTATGTCCATTTGATGTAAGCAAAATAACTCGTAGTATAAAATCTTGGTTTTAGGGGAACTTCTGAAGTCATATCCTTCCACATCAATTGTAATATGGATTAGACCTAGAGCCAAAAATATTTATTTACAGTTTTTTTATTTCACATTTGTAAATACTATTAGCAGTTTGCTTGTTTTATTTTTTAAATTGTTATTTCAGTTTTTTTTTTACTAATTAACAGAATGCAATGTTCTTCATAATAAGGTGTATTTTTATAGAACAGATGTTAGAGCATATTTCTGTTCATGAACAACAGCTGTAATAAAAAAAAAGTACATTAAATCAGATTTCAAAAATTAGTAAAACATCATCTAAAGATTTCTGTTAGTAAATTTTTAGTAGAACATAAATGTACACACACTGCTTTTTTCAGTATGGCCTGCAGTAGAATGTGCCAGTCAAGTTATTAATAAACGTATTTACACTTTTGGTATTTAGCTGAATTTTGTCTCTGAATGACCTTAGATCTGTCTCTGAATAGCCTTCTGATGTCAAGCAACAATCACTTTTTAATTATGACGTCAAATTTTTTAAATTGTGATGTCAAATTTTACGGGAACTTGTGTGATTTTAAGTAATGGCGGACAAATTTGCATTCAAGTGCAAATACGTCTTTTAAACGTTTTATAAAATGATGGCTTCGAAATACTGTTTCTCTGATAATTGATATTATTGCTATTTTCTCAAATTTTGCTTTGATCTTTTTAATTGATAATTTTTCATATCACGCTACTCAAGTGATACAGGTTTTTTTCAGTGATGTTATAAGAGAATGTATGATGTTATTAGCCTGAGTCATTGACATTGCCTAGGAAAACAGCAATAAACAGATTATCAACGATCTATCAAACTCCAGGATGTTTCTCAGCTATATCTCATCTCAGTGCTTTCACCCTTTGATGAGATTGTAGCTGAGAAACACCCTCTCTTATGAAATACCATTAATAATCTGTACTTGTTAATTTGATTGAATATTCACTGCTTTCTTTTTCCCTTATTAATGACATTGTCTTTGTTTATACACCTTATCGCTATTTGTCCGCCATTACTGGATATCACACAGGTTCCCGTAAAATTTTGACGTCATAAAACAAAATATCTGACGCCACAATGGAAAAGTGATTGTTGTTGACGTCAAAAGTTCAAGCGGCCGGGTCAGCCGGGAATAGCAATAAGGTGTATTAATGGCAACATCTTTATTTTGATACAATTTCAATGTTCAAGTTTTCTTGAAGGAAAGCAGTGTGTCATAGGTAAACTACTCTCCCTTTGCAAGTAATTGTCACATTTTATCACTTATCTGTAATCATTCTAAAGGGGAGGCCTAAAATCTGAGGGAAATATCATAGTTTGACTCCAAAAAAAAGGTAAATCTTAAGGTTGTACCCCTAACCGCAACTCGTTTATCAGCCCCTGCCGCGTCCTATTTATAAGTGATAATAAAAGTCACAAACCTTACAAAAAAAATATTGGTGGGTTAGTTCTATACAAGTAGATATCAGTCACCTATCATGTGACAAGGGGTAGCATAGGACATTTAATTATCGTTTATAATAAAAATGAAATATTTGTTAAATAACACTGTTCAGTTATGTTTTTTATACATTGGTATACATACCAAATGCCCATACATCAGATTTACTGCTAAAACGAGTAAAATTTAATACTTCAGGTGGAGCCCATTTTACTGGGAATTTTGTTCCTTGAGAGCTTGTGTATTCATCATCCAATACATATCTGGAAGTATAAACAAAACAATTTAAATCATATCTATATAGAAATAAGAAGATATGGTATGAGTGCCAATGAGACAACTCTCCATCCAAGTCACAATGTGTAATAAAAAGTAAACAATTATAGGTCAAAGTACAGCCTTCAATGCGGAGCTTTGGCTCACACCGAACAGCAAGCTATAAAGGGCCCCAAATCGACTAGTGTAAAACAATTCAAACAGGAAAACCAACGGTCTAATCTATATAAAAAACTAGAAACGAGAAACACTTAAGAACCACATCAACAAATAACAACCACTGAACAACAGGTGGATATACTACACTACAAAACTAGTGACATTGCTGATATCTTACATGATTCACATGTATAGTCATAAATCCTATCAAGACCACATGGATTGTTTTAGGGCTATTCTAGTAAAAAAAACGATATGGGGTTGGGGGGTTGGATGGCACTTTTTGTATGGCCATCACCCATACAATTGCATATTTCTTTGCATACATAACCACACAATTTGAACCTTTTGACCTGCCCCTACCCATACAAAAATAATTTAAGTGCCTTCCAACACACCCCCATATATTTTTTTCTAAAATAGCCCTTATGTTTTTCCAAAGTGGCTGTCAATTGATACTTTTTGAAAACAGGAATCAATTTGAAATGGCAACAACTACAAAATTGCATTGCAGTCCTAATTCATATTTTGGGAATTTGCGTTTGCATGTGTTTGCATGTTGTGTCATCTGTACTATTATTTGTCTGTTTGTCTTTTTATTTTTGGCCATGGCGTCGTCAGTTTGTTTTCGATCTATGAGTTTGACTGTCCCTTTAGTATCTTTCGTCCCTCTTTTATTGATGGACAGGGAATACTAAAAGGCATCTGCATCCTTAATTAGGGTCCTAAATTAAAGTGTGATACTTTTGCTCATAAATGCTACTTATATTAAATGTTAATAAGTATAATTTTGTATTGTCATAAATCAAGTAGATTTTGTTCAATTAATTCACATGTTGTCATGTTAAGGCCCTTTATAGCTGACTTTACAGTATAGTTTCAGCTCATTGTTTAAAGTCATACAGTGACCTGTTGTTGCTTAAATCTACTTAATTTGGACTCTGTTGGATGGTTTTCTCATTTGCAATCATGCAACATCACCTTATTTTATTTAAGAAATTAAATCAGTTAAATTACAATGGAATTTTTTTAAGATTTTTATAAGTTTATCTTCTAGTCAAACAATTCATGCATGTTCCAAACGAGAACAAATTATCAGTGTAGGTAGGGTCGACAAGGTAAGGTCTACAGAGATAAAGGGTGGAAAATTTGGACTTCCACTGCAAAATGAGGAAAAGTTAGATGGGTGCAGAAATTTTTCCTTGCAAAAAGCCACTAAATGAAGATTACAGGTATTTTATTGTAATAGTCATGATTCTCGAGGCTACACATTATGTAAACAAGGAAAAATAGCGTCCATGACATGTGGTCATGCACATGTTACATAATTATATCTGACAAAAGTCAGATTTCTCTGTTAAGAAGGGATTTAGAAGATCACTACATTCCTTACCTTGCTAAACCAAAATCAGCAACCTTTACAACCATGCTTTCTCCAACCAAACAATTTCTTGCTGCAAGATCTCGATGAATGAATTTCCGTTTTTCTAAATAAGCCATGCCATTACACACTTGAGAACAAATGTCCAATAATGTTGCAGTTTTAGGCATTAATCTAGCCTTATGTCTTCTTAAATAAGTTAAAAGTGAACCTGTAAAATTTTTAAAGGAAATATATATCTACATTCATAAATTCTTTCATCAAAATTCTAAATTAAATAATCTATTATAAAACATGATATATAGATTTATAATAAGAATTTATAATATTATAGCATGATATCAGCAAGAATAAATGGTTATTTTTTTCTTAGGGGATGGCTGCAATATAGGATTATACTGTTACTATTCCTAGCCCTACTAGATCCATGATCCCACCTTAATGAAGCCTAAACATAACCCTGACCTAACCTTACCCTTACCAAACCTAAACCCTTAAATGAACTTTAACCCTAAATAACAAGGTCTCTTAAGTCCTAATGTAGAAGACAACGCGGGGTATACAACAACTACAAGCAGTCCAAGGACATTGAAAATAGACAAAAACAAATAGAGGACAACATATGCATTGTCTTCAACAATTTCGACAAGTAACAATACCACTTAACAAGTTCTAAGTCACCAAGAGTCTTAAGATGGTACCAAACACATTGACTAAAATTAATTTGGCTCATTTAATTTTCATAAAACTTTTGACAAAATATTTACTTTGACCCTTTGACAAAAATATAAAAATTTCAAAAAACTTGAACCACAGTTTATCGGAAAAATTTCATTGGATATATAGCAGTTTGACAAACACTAATTTTGATCATTGAGAAGCTTAATATTTCCTTAACAATAGAATATGATTAAAACGTTCAGCTGAGTTTTACAGAGTTATCTCCCTGTAGTGTTATGTACCACCTTATTAAACTAGTTGTGAAAATTTTTGACACAGTTTACCAGATCTGCCATTAGAACAAAATTCTTCAAAGAGCAAAAAATTTAGCATACAAATAAATACATGTACAACCACTTACAAGGATTCTGGAAGGGACTTTATCATGATGCCAGTTTAAATTACTTTTGGCACATTCAACCCTCCCATTTTTTTTCTCAATAACATAAGGTACAAAATAAATCTAGACTGAACAATAAAATCTAAATATTGAATATTAGTGACATTGGTATTACAGATAACAACAAAAACACAGATTGGTTACACTTAAGGAACCGAGATCACTCTGATGTCTGTTTGGACTGCTTTCCATATAGAAAACAGGGAGATTTTGTCGACAAGACTTGAGGTAACAAGATTCTGTCTCAAAATTGTAATAGATTGATATTCAAGGAGATAAACAGGGTTCTCCCCAGGATTTTTTGATAGCGCTGTGGTAAGCGCGTGATTTTTTCGACTATTCTCAGTAACTTTGTCGCAGCGCGCGGTTCATTTGTAATGGGTTTATTATGATGTTTTAATACAATATACTGCTGATGTTTGCTCTTGTTATGTTGTCCTGATGGAAGTTACCCATTTGTTTGTAAATGTTATTGTTTGAAAATAGATGAAGAATCATTTTTTTATCTCCATTGTAAATTTAGATAATCAAGCAAAAATAAGTATAGAAATAAATTCCATGAAGGGTCAACACCAGACTGGTGATGTGAAAATTTCTTAACAGGTGATGCTATAGAACAAGTAGGACCCACATTGACAATCACATCATTGTTATTTTCTGTGTTGGGTTTTGTAACCCACTGGAGCAGTGTACTATTAACCTAATGACGTTTGACAGGAGTCGACATTTTGGAACATTATGAATATGTTGATCTTGCAAAGAAGCCATTTTGTAAAATTTATTAAACTGGTCCCGCAATGTTACTTTATACAACGCAAATAACACATTCATATATAGTAAACCAGACGATCACGTGATCGAGGTAAAAGATAAACAGGAAATTATTTTTTTTTAAAATCGAAAAAAATATAGCGACGCGATTGATTTGGATAGCGCTGCGCTCAGTTCAATAGAACAGCGGAAAATTGTGAAAGCGCTGAATACTCGAACTTGATCTGAGTTTTGTGGTACTAAGCATTTTGTTTAAGTTTCATGACATTTGGTTGAGCCAAACTAAAGTTAGAGAATGGAAAAAATTTTGAGGCATACCTTACTGCCCCCTCCGCTACAGCGGGGGCATAAAAAGGCAAAAAATAAAAAGCTGACATACATTTCTTTCGAACTTACCATAAGGCATTAATTCTGTTACAATAATAAGTGGTCGTCTTTTAGTTACAATACCATACAACTGTACTAAATTTGGATGATTTAATTGTCTGAAAATTAAATGAATATTCAACAATTAAACAAGCTTTTATGAGACATTTACTACCATTTGACCAATTCTTTATGTATATATTTAAGACTTGTCAGACTGATTGTCCTTGGTATAGTAACGATTTTACGAATATTGAGATTTTGGTGCTCATGTCAGATATTTGGTTGACTGCTGAATTCATTTCTGTGTCTATCCATAATTTCCTGTTTGTTGTTGGTTGCTGTCTATAATAATAAATTTTTTCTTATTCTTTCATACATAAATCAGGCTTGGTTGTTTGGTTTGAACTGTTCTACATTTTGTGGCTTACTATATGCAATGGGTTTTGTTCATTGTTGAAGACTGTATGGTGACCTGTTGTTGCTAATATCTACATCATTTGGTCTTGGGTGGATATTTGTCTCATTGGAAATCTTACCACATCTTCTTATTTTCATATTCTTTAGTTTAAAGATCAAGAACATACAATGTGGCTATTAGTCCATTGTTAAATGCACTCTGGATATTTATTTTGATAAAACTGTTTTAAGTAGCTTTCAGGTTGTCATTTTCTCAACATTTCCTTTTAATACATGTAATATTTATGATATTATTCCAGTTCTAGTTTGTTTATCACGAAATTTGGACTACATTAAGTGATATCCCATACTTTTACTATAATAGATTTGGCCGTTAAATTTTCATAAAATTTTGACAAAATATTTACTTTGACCTGTTGACAAAAATATAAAAATTTCAAGAAATTTGAACCTAACAATTTACAGAAATAATTTCATTGGATACATATAGCAGTGTGACAAACACTAATTTTGATCATTGAGAAGCTTGATTTCTCTTTACTAATAGTATGTGAATATAATGTTCAGCTGATTTTTTAAGTTAACTCCCTTAGGTGTTCTGTATCCCCTTAAATTTCTTCTTTAGAGCTTTCTTCAGACACATTATTTGTTCATTTGTTTACATATCAGACTTTCACAACCCTCTGCAAAGTCTGTTCAGAGACACTATTTTTTTCCTTTTTGATGGACTTTCATTGTTCTTCTTGGTTCTTCTATGATTCCATCTTTCCTTCATATCTATCATTATCATTTTTTTGCATTAAAAGCCATTTTTGACACTGTATTTTATCTTTTTTTTGTATGTCAAAACTTTCATCACAGTTCTAACATAAAGAATGAAGTTGCCATCAGTCATTGTGTGTAGGTTCTATTTTGTATTTCCAAAAATGTTTCTTCTTTCTTTATATATTTCAGACTTTACTCAGTTCTTGCTTTCTTATTGAATTATTTTTTTTCTATTTTTTCACCACTGTTTTCATTTTTTTGTTTGTCCTTATAGCTTCCTACTTTTTTCTATCCTTCTTGTAAATCTATTTTTAGCCCATTGTGTATCAGACTTACGTCATAGTTCTTGCTTCCTCTATGAAACTGTCTTCAGACATTGTGCCTTCCTTCATCATCTTAACTGCTACAACCTTTCCTTTCCATTTACCCTGGTTTACAGTCTAAAATGAACAGATTTTTTTTCAAATTTCAATTACAACTAATTTCAGAAATAATAGCAATGTTTAAATCGACGCAATCGATGCAACAAGATATTTATCCTATTAAAAAAAACTTAATTTATGTTAGAAATAAACTATTACAGTATGAATTGAATAGTAGAAACATTAAAAAACTCTCCAGATATCTAAAGGTCAACATAATTATAGTCTTCAACAATTGATTAGTGATGATACTGTATGTTAAGCTCATAATGGCCCCATGTCTTCAGAATTTGTGAATAAATTAAAAAGAGACTGCCTTAGATATACAATCAATACTTTTTTCACTAAATAATAAACAAAAATATTAAAACATAACCAATGACAAGGACTAAGGATTATGCCATCTTTCATTACTATCTAAAAGTACAATTTTCAAAGACTACAGGAAATACAAGATTTCCACATAGAAAGTAGAATACCAAAGAACGATAACGCTGACGAATATGGGACACAACTCTTGTGTAGAAAAAAATTGTAAGGGTTCCACGGAACCCAGTGTCTCGCCTACTTTTCCTGCTAGTCACAGGCTCAACAAAAAAGGGGAAAAAAAGTTTGGTAAAAATCCAGAATGGTTTATGAATCTAATAAATGTTTTAAAAACTTTAACTACAGTCTGTATGTAATGTTAACTGGAAGAAAAACTAAGTCCATTTATAAGTTATATAAGGAAAAACAGGAACATTTTTACAAAATTTCCTTCTAAATACTAGCTTTTGATCCTAAACAAGCTTCTGTCCAAGTTTGGTACAAATCTGAGATAGTTTAAGAAAGTTATTAAAATTTTTAAAACTTTAACCACAGAGTGAATGTAATGTTAACTGGCAGAAAAATTAAGTCCATTTATAAGTAAAATACTGAAAAACAGGATTTTTTTTTTTCAAAATTTAATTCTGGATACTACATGTATCTTATGATCATAAACAGTAGAAATCCAGAATAGTTTAAGACAGTTATTAAAATTTCAAAAACTTTAACCACAGAGTGAATATTTGTGGACGCCGCCACCGCCGCAGCCGCCTTAGAAGACAGGATGTAGGATTACTATGTCTCGCTTTTGCGACAAAAATTGCTGGCTCAACAAAAAAGAGGTCATGCAAAGTTATTTCACCCTCATTCTTTTACAAAATCAATTCATCTGTTCAACATTTAAATTAAACAAGAGTGCACACGCTGAAATGTCTCGCCTTCTTTACTAACCATTGATTTTATGTTAATAGTCCTAAATATAAAGTTTTACTACAAGTAACACATAAACTTAACATGATCCAAGAAAATGAGGTCAAGGTCAGATAAACCAAACGAGAAATACATGTACACCTTAAAATCATTCAATAAACCAAACATAGTTGACCTAGCTATTGCTTATAGTTTCTAAAAAACAGTCTTAACCAAGAAAACTTAACATTGACCAATGAACCAGGAAAATGAGGTCAAGGTCAGATGAACCATGCCAGACAGACATGTACACCTTACAATCAATGTATGCATTAAACATAGTTGACCTATTGATTATAGTATCTAAGAAACAAACTTAACCATGAAAACTTAACATTGACCAATGAACCATGAAAATGAGGTCAAGGTCAGATGATACCTGCGAGACAGACATAAACACCTTACAATCCTTCCATACAGCAAATATAGTTGATCTATTGCTTAAAGTTGAAGAAAAACAGACCAAAACACAAAAACTTAATACTCAGAAATGAACCGTGAAAATGAGGTCAAGGTCAAATAAAACCAGCGAGACTGACATGTACCTCATAAAATATTTCCATACACCAAATATAGTTGACCTATTGCATATAGTATTAGAAAAAAAGACCAAAACACAAAAACTTAACTTTGACCACTGAACCAAGAAAATGAGGTCAAGGTCAGATGACACCTACAGTTAAACATGTACACCTTACAATCATTCCATATACCAAATATAGTAGACCTACTGCTTATAGTATCTGATATATGGACTTGACCACAAAAACTAAACCTTGTTCACTGATCCATGAAATGAGGTCGAGGTCAAATGAAAAGTGTCTGACGGGCATGAGGACCATGCAAGGTACGCACATACTAAATATAGTTATCCTATTACTCATAATAAGAAAGAAATTAACATTACAAAAAATGTTGACTTTTTTTTTCAAGTAGTCACTGAACCATGAAAATGAGGTCAAGGATAATGGACATATGACAGACAGAAAATTTGTAACAGAAGTCATCTATATACAAAGTATGAAGCATCCAGGTCTTCTAGCTTTTAAAATATAAAGCTTTTAAGAAGTTAGCTAACGCTGCCGCCGCCGCTGTAGCCGCCGAATCACTATCCCTATGTCGAGCTTTCCGCGACAAAAGTCACAGGCTCAACAAAAATTAAATCTTTCTTATTTCACTACTTTTGATAAATAAAATCTCAATAAACTTTGTCACATATTTTTCTAACATTGCATTTCTTTAAACTTTTACTTACACCGAAACATCCAGCCCCTAGTTGTTGTTCTATTACTATTTCTGTGGGATCTATTTCATATTTACCTAAAACATCAATGCATACATTAAATTATCTCATCAATTACAATTTAACATCTAATGCAAGATGCTAAAAAAAATAAAATTGGAAGACATCTTCAAAATTCTACTCATCTGTATTTTGTGACAAGTAAGTAATATTGTGCAAACATATTAAAGCACCTCATGATACAATTAATTTGAATTTTGTTGACCATCATACAGCAATAAAAAAGACAATACATTTTTGCAATGAAGCATTTTATTTATCATCTTGTAATGCAAAAATCTCATGAACTGATCAAATCTTCCATAAATACCAGACCAGTTTCAGTTGCATATTTAATATGGAAACAATTTTCATTATTATAAAAAACTATCGACTATAGTCACAAAAAATCTTACCAGGAAAATATTTGTGTCATGAACATTTCTGTAACTTACGATCAGACTTGGTCGTAACATTTTTTTTGTGAAAAGATCGCTGACTTCTATGAAACAGCAACCACAAATGTTTTTCATATTCCCAGATATACATTAAACTTACTATGACCAAATCCTGCAGTAGCTGGTGCTGTTTTTCCTCCCTCTGGTGCGGGAGGACTTCTTAATCTAGTTGATAATCCTGAAAAAATTAAGAACAGTCACCTATATGCAAAATATATATGCATGCGTAAAAAAGTTAATTAGACAAAAGATTTGTACATAATTTAAGAAAACAATAATGGATTTCATACCCAACAAATAACAAATTTCTATCAATTTACATCTCAAATAAAATGCTTCGCTTGGCGCAGCTTGATACGACCGCAGAGGTCAAACCCTGAACAGTTGGGACAAGTATGGACACAACATTCAAGCTTGATACAGCTCTGAATTTGGATTGTGATTAAATATTTGACACAGCATAGGTTTCTGACACAGAAAGAATGTGGTCTAAGAACTTGATTTTTTTTAATTTACCTATTATGGTCCAATGTCCAAAATCTAAACACATGTTTAGATTCAGCATATCAAAGAACCCCAAGAATTCAATTTTTGTTAAAATCAAACTAAGTTTAATTTTGGACCCTTTGGACCTTAATGTAGACCAATTTAAAAAACAGGACCCAAAATTAAAAATATAAATACACGGTTAGATTTGGAATATCAAAGAACCCCAATAATTCAATTTTTGATGAAATATTACAAAGTTTAATTTTGGACCCTTTTGAACTCAATATGAACCAATTTGATAGCGGGGCCCACAAATAAAAAATCTAAATACATGGTTAGATTCAGCATATCAAGGAACCCCATTTATTCAATTTTTGTTGAAATCAAAAAAAGTTTAATTTTGGACTCCAACTTGGACCAACTTGAAAACTGGGCCCATAATCAAAAATCTAAACACATGTTTAGATTCAGCATATCAAAGAACCCCAAGAATTCAATTTTTGTTAAAATCAAACGACCGGTAAGTTTAATTTTGGACCCTTTAGACCTTAATGTAGACCAATTTAAAAAACAGGACCCAAAATTAAAAATCTAAATACACAGTTAGATTTGGCATATCAAAGAACCCCAATAATTCAATTTTTGATGAAATCAAACGAAGTTTAATTTTAGACCCTTTTGACCTCAATATGAACCAATTTGATAGCGGGGTCCACAAAAAAAAATAAATCTAAATACATGGTTAGATTCAGCATATCAAAGAACCCCATATATTCAATTTTTGTTACAAAGGTTAATTTTGGACCCCAATTTGGACCAACTTGAAAACTGGGCCAAAAATCAAAAATCTAAATACATGTTTAGATTCAGCATATCAAAGAACCCTATATATTCAATTTTTGTTAAAATCAAACAAAGTTTAATTTTGGACCCTTTGGACCTTAATGTAGACCAATTTGAAAACTGGACCCAAAATTAAAAATCTAAATACACGGTTAGATTCGGCATAACAAATAAATAAATGTGGTCAAAGATTTTACAAATCTAATGCGCCATACTGTGCAATTAAAGATTAATTCTTGAAATTTTTCAATATTTGAAATTTGAAAAAAAAATAATATTTGAAGAATAATTCTTTTTAATTTCTGAAATCTGAAATGAGAAAAAATTGACCCCCCCCCCCGCCCCACTTTTTTCCCCCAAAAAATTTTTTCCCTCAAGATATGGTCATAATCTCAATTCAAATTTCCAATGGAGTTTGCAACCATAATTACCCATTTAAATTTACCATAGTGCTAACTTAATCTATTCTATAATAGAATTTAAAATATAGTGTCAAATCTTTCATATGGATTTTTTTGTAAAAAAAAAAGATGCAACATTTGCAGATATTTTTACTGGTCTTCCTTTATAAATATGCATTTCTGTAAACATAATTTAAAAGCAGTGTAAGGGAAGTAACCAAAACCTTGTATTTGGATTACCTCCCTTACACTGTTTTAAATTATCTTAATTGTTCATTAACCATTACTTTATACATAACTTAAAAGCAGTGTAAGGGAGGTAATTTCAATGATGTATTTGATTTATCTCCCTTAAACTGCTTTAAATTATGTTTTGTACTACAAGTATTTGTCCATTAACCAGGACAACCTTGTTTTTCCCCCTTTTTTGCCCCTAATTCCTAAACGGTTTGAGCCATAACCCCCCAAAGCAAATCCTAACCATCCCTTTGTGGTATGGAAACTTGTAGTATAATTTCAGAGAGATCCATACACCGTTCCACAGTTATTGTCTGGAAACTAGAAAATGCTTAATTTTGGCCCCTAATTCCTTAACTGTTGGTACCATAACCCCCAAAATCAATCCCAACCTTCCTTTAGTGGTATTTAACCTTATGCTAAAATTTCAAAGAGATCTATTCACTTAAACTAGAGTTAGAGTGCGAAAACCAATGTGTCTTCGGACAACGACGACGACAACAACGACGCCAACGTCATACCAATATACGACAGCAAAATTTTTTTGCGGGCGTATAAAAAGTTCAGAACTCCGGGAAAATACTGTTTGTTTGAAGTAGTTTTTAATTATTAGTTGATACATTTTCAATAAGTTATTAGAGGAAACCAAAATTCCTAACCACAGCCCTTTGGTGTCAAAATATGTGCATTTTTAACTATCTATTTGATTTGATGCAGTCTCCAAAATCTACAGTAGAGACTGAAATAAGTAGATGTGACCAGCTACCAAGATATCTAACTGTGGTCCATCTAAGACAAACTGTGTTTTAAAATTACCCATAGTCCTTTCAATCTAAAATGACAGACTCCATAGTCTTGTGGTAGTGTGCTGATCTTAAGGTGGGAGATTGTGGATTTGATCTCAGACCAGGTCAAACCATAGACTTGAACATTAGTATTTGCTGCTAAGCACTCAGCATTTAGAGCAAAGACTGCACAGCTCAGAGTCAGAATAATGCGTCTGGGTAGGGTGACATGTCTTCCTGTCAACTGTTACCTAGTGAACTAGCACTTTAAAATCTGGCTCAGAGTGACAGTCTACAACATAGCAGGGTATGTATTCACATCATATTATCATGTTCTCATCCTGAATGTGCACTTAATATTCCAGAGGACATTAAACAACAGTCCATCCATCCACCAACCTAAAATTCTATTACTGACCAGCTGAATCATGTTTGTGACCTACCTGCTGAATCATGTTTGTGACCTACCTGCTGAATCATGTTTGTGACCTACCTGCTGAATCATTTTTGTGACCTACCTGCTGAATCATGTTTGTGACCTACCTGCTGAATCATGTTTGTGATAATGAACTAAATCCTGGACTGATGGGAATGCATGCTTTTCTGCTATGTAGAACATTCCTTCAGTATTTTTCTTTATATGATAATGTTTAACTGTTCCATCACTGAAAATACAAATCATAAAAATTATTAATGATTATTTTTAATTTTATTATAACTCTGTTCCTAAAATAGAGTACTCAAGTCAAATTTAAATAGAAAACAACACCACAACATCTTACAGATGGAAATAATATTTTTAAATTTAATGGATTTTTTTATAAAGCAATTTCAAAGAAAAACTAAAAGCATATTAAGCAAAAAAAAAGTATTTTTTGCATATAATATATTTACTTTGATCTTGTTCAAAATGCTGTGAACACTGGTAGATTGAATTTTATTTCAATTTTTGTTGTTGTTAAATTTGCATCAATGAGATTCCTGTATGCAGTTTTTTTCAATATGTGTTTATTTTTTCCCAACTGATGTAAATTGATAACATATAAAAATTTCTACAATGATAGTACAAATTAAAGGACATCTACAGGTCAATATATTGTCTTCAACAATAGACTTGTGCCTAAACAGTACATTCAGTATGTCAAGCTCTATTTCCCTAGGCCTGGATGTTTTAAAAAAATTGTAAATAAATCTAACAGAAAAGATCTGCCAATAACACCACATTCCCCGAAAGTAAAAAGATACAGTATTATATATATATCAAAAGACACCCACCGACTAGGTTCCATATACCTATATAGTGTGCAGAAAGTGTAAGGAGGTTAGAGCTGTGTTAGAGTGAGGAGGAAACTATAATTCTTAATAATAATCTTTTTACCACATGACACCGTATATAATGGATGCAATAATTCTCCAGAAACCATCACCAGAGATATACCAATTAATATTTAACAAATGTTTAAAGTATATTTTAACTTAAAATACTTACACATAACTATAAATAAAACAAAATGTTTCTAAATAAACATGACTTATTCTTTGTATTTCAATTCCAGCTTCCTCAATATGAATAAATTGAGATGACAATGAGATAGCAAACCCACAACAAAAAAAGCAACTGGGACAAGATGTTGTTTTCAAGAGAATATACGATTAAAAAGAAATCAATACTATTCATTTTCAGAGCAACTATCGAATCTTATCAAATAATTATCATATTATTACTTTTCATGAATTTTTCAATCATACTAATGAGTATTTGCTTCAGAAAAACAAGAGGCTCTCAAGAGCCTGAATCGCTCAACTGTATTTCAGAGGAGAAGATTTTTAAATGTTAGCAAACTTGATGAACAAATTGTGTAAAATTGTCTTTAAACGGCAATAACTCCTTAAGGGGTCAATTGACAATTTTGATCATATTCACTTTTTTGTAGATCTTACTTTGCTGAACATTATTGCTGCTTACAGTTTACATATATCTATAGTAATATTCAAAATAATAAAAAAAAACTGCAAAATTTTGTTAAAACTACCAATTCAGTGGCAGCAAATTTAGTGGCAGCAACCCAACAATGGGTTGTTCGATTCGTCTGATAATTTCAGGGCAGATAGATCTTGACCAATTAAACAATTTTACCACATGTCACATTTGCTCTAAAAGATCTAGTTTTTGAGATATAAACAAAAAACTGCATTTGACCCTTATGTTCTATTTTTAGCCATGGCGGCCATGTTTGTCCATGGATAAAAACTTCCAATACAATTTATAGACAAGATACCCTAAGGAACATGTAGTTAAAGTTTGAAGGTAATTGGCCCAGTAGTTTCAGAGGAGAAGATTTTTAAATGTTAGCAAACTTGATGAACAAATTATGTAAAATTGTCTTTAAAGGGCAATAACTCCTTAAGGGGTCAATTGACAATTATGGTTTTATTAACTTTTTTGTAGATCTTACTTTGCTGAACATTATTGCTGCTTACAGTTTATATATATCTATAATAACATTCAAAACAAGAAATGATTGTAACAGGATGCTGTTACGAAGTCTCCCAAACGAAGCTCCCATAATTCGTAATTCCCAGGGTCGCCTGACATTGGGCAAAGTCCAGTAAAAATTGGTTTGGTCCAGTAAAGTTATATGCATTAATGATGCCAGCTGGGGACTAACCCTGTATATCATTCAAATCATCTTGGCATGACAAACCAGAATATATATGGTTTAGGGGTGGGGATCTCAACCATTTACAAGATACTAGAACATTGGGGGTGGGGGAACCACTGGGGACTGACCCTATACGTCATTCAAATGTTTGAGACATGACGAACAGGAATATATATGGTTTAGGGGTGGGGATCTCAACCATTTACAAGATACTAGAACATTGGGGGTGGGGGGAACCCCTGGGGACTGACCATATACGTCATTCAAATGTTCGAGACATGACGAACAGGAATATGTATGGTATAGGGGTGGGGATCTCGACCATTTACAAGATATTAGAACTTTCTCAAATGGCAGGGGGTGGGGATGACCCCTGGGGACTAACCCTGTATATCATTCAAACCATCTTAGCATGACAAACCAGAATATATATGGTTTAGGGGTGGGGATCTTGACCACATACAAGGTATTAGAACTTTCTTAAATGGCAGGTGGTGGGGGTGACCCCTGGGGACTAACCCTGAATTTCATTTGATGTGCTTTATCATGACAAACCAGAATATATATGGTTTAGGGGGGGATCTCGACCATTTACAAGATATTAGAACTTTCTCAAATGGCAGGGGGTCTGGATGACCCCTGGGGACTAACCCTGTATATCATTCAAACCATCCTAGCATGACAAACCAGAATATATATGGTTTAGGGGTGGGGATCTTGACCACTTAGAAGATATTAGAACTTTCTTAAATGGCAGGGGGTGGGGGTGACCCCTGGGGACTAACCCTGTATCACATTTGATGTGCTTTATCATGACAAACCAGAATATATATGGTTTAGGGGTGGGGATCTCGACCATTTACAAGATATTAGAACTTTCTCAAATGGCAGGGGGTCGGGATGACCCCCTGGGACTAACCCTGTATATCATTCAAACCATCTTAGCATGACAAACCAGAATATATATGGTTTAGGGGTGGGGATCTTGACCACTTACAAGGTATTAGAACTTTCTTAAATGGCAGGGGGTGGGGGTGACCCCTGGGGACTAACCCTGTATTTCATTTGATGTGCTTCATCATGACAAACCAGAATATATATGGTTTAGGGGTGGGGATCTCGACCATTTACAAGATATTAGAACTTTCTCAAATGGCAGGGGGTCTGGATGACCCCTGGGGACTAACCCTGTATATCATTCAAACCATCTTAGCATGACAAACCAGAATATATATGGTTTAGGGGTGGGGATCTTGACCACTTACAAGGTATTAGAACTTTCTTAAATGGCAGGGGGTGGGGGTGACCCCTGGGGACTAACCCTGTATTTCATTTAATGGGATTTATCATTTAAAACATTTTCAATTAAAAAGATTGTGTCTATCACAAACGGTTTTCAATTGATAATCATTTGAAAATTTAAAAAAATAAAATCCCATAGGGTTCTATAGTAAAACCCTCTTTTCTTTTTGCCCCTCAAAGTACCCCTTTATAAACCCCATAGCACAAACAAAACCCTGATTGCACCACTAGACATGTTAGTCTAACATATTGTGAAACCCTAAGTTAATCTGACAAGCGGTTTTAGAGAACGGGTGCGGACAAGTTCAAATTTAAAAGCGGCGGAAGAAGAAGAAGAAGAAGAAGAAGAAGAAGAAGAAGAAGAAGAAGAAGAAGAAGAAGAAGAATAATAATAATAATAAGAACTGAGCAAAAACAATAAGTCTTCCCAAACTTCGTTTGGGAGACTTAATAATAACAAAAAACTGCAAAGTTTTGTTAAAACATCCAATTCGGTGGCAGCAACCCAACAATAGGATGTTTGATTCTTCTGAAAATTTCAGGGCCGATAGATCTTGACCAATTAAACAATTTTACCCCATGTTACATTTGCTCTAAAAGATTTAGTTTTTGAGATATAAGCCAAAAACTGCATTTGACCCTTATGTTCTATTTTTAGCCATGGCGGCCATGTTTGTCCATGGATACAAACTTCGGATACAATTTATAAACAAGATACCCTAAGAAACATTTAGTTAAAGTTTGAAGGTAATTGGCCCAGTAGTTTCAGAGGAGAAGATTTTTAAATGTTAGCAAACTTGATGAACAAATTGTGTAAAATTATCTTTAAAGGCAATAACTCCTTAAGGGGTCAATTGACAATTATGGTCATATTAACTTTTTTGTAAATCTTACTTTGCTGAACATTATTGCTGCTTACAGTTTATATATATCTATAATAATATTCAAAATAATAACAAAAAATTGCAAAATTTTGTTAAAACTACCAATTTGGTGGCAGCAACCCAACAATGGGTTGTTCGATTCGTCTGAAAATTTCAGAACTGATAGATCTTGACCAATTGAACAATTTTACCCCATGTCAGATTTGCTCTAAAAGCTTTAGTTTTTGAGATATAAGCCAAAAACTGCATTTGACCCCTATGTTCTATATTTAGCCATGGCAGCCATGTTTGTCGATGGATCAAAACTTCGGATACAATTTATAAACTAGATACCCTAAGGAACATTTAATTAAAGTTTGAAGGTATTTGGCCCAGTAGTTTCAGAGGAGAAGATTTTTGAAATAGTTTACGACGACAGACGACAACAGACGACGACGACAGACGACGACGGACGCCAAGTGATGGCATAAGCTCACATGGGGCCCTTTGGGCCCCGGTGAGCTAAAAAATAAATAAACTGTTGGCACAGAGATATGTCTCGCCTGTCGGCATAAAATTCAGAAAAAGACAATCTGATGGACAGCAACATGGTTTATCAATTCAGTTGCTGGACCATTATCTAGTGGGCAGGGCCTGAAAATAATCGCCAAACTGGTATGAACTGATAGTAATGCAACTTCATACAAAATATCATTGATCTATCACAAGTAGTTCTTATCAAACTGACTTAAGCTGATAACTTAACAATGAAAATTGCTAAATAATTCAGTTACTGGACCATGACATAGGGGGCAGGGCCTGGATATAGTCATCAAACTGATATGAACTGATAGTAATACAACTTCATACAAAATATCATTGATCTATCACAATTAGTTCCTATCAAACTAACTTAAGCAGAATACTTTACATTGAAAATTGCTAATTAATTCAAAGTCACTGAATCATGACCTAGGGGGCAGGGCCTTGAAATAGTTGTCAAACTGATATGTACTGATAGTAATACAACTTTATATTAAATATCAATGATCTATCACAATTCAAGTAGTTCCTTTGAAAATAACTTATTTAAGCAGAAAACTTAACAATTTTTGACACTGCAGCCATCACCAGAAAAGCAATCCCATTGTCTCGCTTTCCACGACCTTTTGTCACAGGCGAGACAAAAACAAACAAAAAAACTTAAAAAAAAAAAACACAGAATAAGCAGAAATGACGTATCACAAAAATAAACCTTAAAAATGAATTCAAAGAAGATGCAAGCAGTTATAGTGTATAAATTACACCATTCCCATAAAATAACTACAAAAATAGTAATACATGTAATACACATCTGAATATTACAAAATTACTGTAAGATTATATAATTTCTAAAATGACTGGCACATGCTTCTACTTGTAATGGATACAGACTTCACTCAAATTTACTTCCTCTTAAGTTCTTAGGTTCTCGGAAACAGTAATTAATAATTATTATAACAAAAATAGATATCAGCAAGAAGAAACCTTCATCATGTTCATGGCTTCAGAAGCCTACTGGAAACTACAGTTTTAATCCCCTTCCCACAATTACTCACAAGATGTACTTTTGATCCATAAAAAAAATCACCAGATAGATAATTAGTGTTATTCTACTATTCTAAACAAATTTTCAGATTGTTCTACAATTACATTACATATTTGTATCTGACAAGAAATTTGAATGAAGTCTGAAAAGGGGAAATTTGCAATAAAGCAGTATTTTTAGTACCTGAATTTTGAACTAATGCTTGACCTAGGCCTACAAGTAACATTCACAGTAAGGCCAAATTATAGGAATATGTATTATTATATTTTCAACATAAACACTATTAACCTTAAAAAATATTATATATTTTTTTTTTTTTGTTAGTTAGATAACATAACATAAAATCTATAGGATATGGCTAAAATTGCTATGTATTATAGGCATGTCCTAAGTAAGGAAAGACAATCTATGAGTTACTAATCCCTTTTTTGTAATACAGTCATATAGTGATGTTAATCATATTATATACTATGAATTCATTATTATTCATGAGATACCAATTTTCGTTGATTTCACAAAAATTTGTATCCACAAAAATATATGAATCCACAGTAATCAGATATCAGTTCATCATTTTTCTTTTCTTTTATAGAATATCATTCATTCAAAGTCATTTAAGGCATGCATAAAAAGCATGGTTGTTTATTTAAATATAAATTAAAATGGTCTTTTAAAATTAGTGTATGTATTTAATGTTTTAATATATTATTATGAATTCAAAAATATTTCAACATCATAAAGGAATGGTTGAACTTTAAAATTTTTTTAAAATACTATGTTCATTTTCATAATCCTGAACTATGCATTTGTAGTTATAAATTAGTAAATGTTCAATTCATAGGTCATATATGCAAATGATGATCTGTTTGTAAGAAAGACAACATTTCTTATAAAGACTCATTCTCTCCAAATGTTTAAAATAAGGAGGATTTCAACTTGTCATTCAATTAAGAAATCTTTTTTTTTTATTATTTATTTGAATGGGAGATGATAACCAAACTTTGATTATATAAATGTATCGAATTGGCAGCTTGTATTAATCTAATAATCAAATACCAATATGAAAGTTAATGTTAAAATATTAAAAATAGCAGCGTACAATCATATTTATGCCATATCATATTGTAATAATCATGACAATACCTACCTTTCTGATGTATAGAGAGACAAAGTAAACATTCCAGGTGTACTTGATTCCCTCACTAGGAAACATCCTTCTCTTCCTTCCTTTCTTAATACTTGCTCACTTCTTTCTCGAGAATAACTCTTACAAAACCAACTAAAAATATCAACATTTTTATAGATATATTAAAGTATATTTCCTCATTTAGAAAAAAATCTCATTTTTTAAATTACTTAGAACTAATTGAACAGAATTTTCAATATATACACATTTAATAGTCCTAATATGTTAATATATACCGTAATTTTCAGACTATAAGTCCATGTAAAGGTTAAGTCAAAGGACCAATATTTGGCCAAAAGCTGTAAAAAATTCTATGATTGTTCAAAACAATGGAAAGATTGAGAGTCCAAAAAGAATTCACTAGTAGGTCTTGGTATGTGATCAATAAAGAAGGTATTTTATTGTATTTAAAACGTAATTTTTACTGCTTATGCAGTAAAAGTATCATAAATGTAGTTTTGATCTTTTTTTTTTCTTTGAAATACATGTAACCATCTCTCACTTTGAGGAATTTGTTTGTTTTCCTGATGGTATATCAGTTTCCAGTGATTTTGGGTAAATCATAAAGTAGTTCCTGTGTAGCAATATTTTACATGGCACCAATCATTTTTCTGTAAAAGCAATACCAAAAGCAATCCCTTTAGGAACTTTACCTTGTGAAATGACACATTCTTGGAAGTTAATGACTTGCACACCTACGCGAAATCAGAGAAATATTTTTTGCATTTTGTGTATTAAAACATACTCCTTCAAGCATACTTGCAACCTTTATAAGCAATTGAATATACATTAATTATGCTTATGTACTTACTCAAATATTTCTAAATCAAACTTTTTCTTGACATAATTAGCTGGAATATATCCTTGCAGTCTGTAAAAAAAAATAAACATACAACTGTTATTAACTAAGACTTTTATTGCAAAAATAAATCTTAGCATGACTATAGTATCTAAGTATGGCAAATCTATCTTATAAAATGCTCCTCGAAAGATACAATTACCTTCAGTTCAGTAAACGATAAACTTGTACAGGAATAATATTCAAGTATAGTAAACCTCTCTTATAAAATGCTCCTCAAGGGTACCATTACTCTTGTACATTCAGTTTACAGTAAATTTGTACAGGAATAATATTCAAGTATAGTAAACCTCTCTTATAAAATGCTCCTCAAGAGTACCATTACTCTTGTACATACAGTTTACAGTAAATTTGTACAGGAATAATATTCAAGTATAGTAAACCTCTCTTATAAAATGCTCCTCAAGAGTACCATTACTCTTGTACATACAGTTTACAGTAAATTTGTACAGGAATAATATGTAAGTACACATGAAGTATAGAAAACCTCTCTTATAAAATGCTCCTCAAGGGTACCATTACTCTTGTACATACAGTTTACAGTAAATTTGTACAGGAATAATATGTAAGTATAGTAAACCTCTCTTATAAAATGCTCCTCAAGGGTACCATTACTCTTGTACATTCAGTTTACAGTAAATTTGTACAGGAATAATATTCAAGTATAGTAAACCTCTCTTATAAAATGCTCCTCAAGAGTACCATTGCTCTTGTACATACAGTTTACAGTAAATTTGTACAGGAATAATATTCAAGTATAGTAAACCTCTCTTATAAAATGCTCCTCAAGAGTACCATTACTCTTGTACATACAGTTTACAGTAAATTTGTACAGGAATAATATTCAAGTATAGTAAACCTCTCTTATAAAATGCTCCTCAAGAGTACCATTACTCTTGTACATACAGTTTACAGTAAATTTGTACAGGAATAATATTCAAGTATAGTAAACCTCTCTTATAAAATGCTCCTCAAGAGTACCATTACTCTTGTACATACAGTTTACAGTAAATTTGTACAGGAATAATATTCAAGTATAGTAAACCTCTCTTATAAAATGCTCCTCAAGGGTACCATTGCTCTTGTACATTCAGTTTACAGTAAATTTGTACAGGAATAATATTCAAGTATAGTAAACCTCTCTTATAAAATGCTCCTCAAGGGTACCATTGCTCTTGTACATTCAGTTTACAGTAAATTTGTACAGGAATAATATTCAAGTATAGTAAACCTCTCTTATAAAATGCTCCTCAAGGGTACCATTGCTCTTGTACATTCAGTTTACAGTAAATTTGTACAGGAATAATATTCAAGTATAGTAAACCTCTCTTATAAAATGCTCCTCAAGAGTACCATTACTCTTGTACATACAGTTTACAGTAAATTTGTACAGGAATAATATTCAAGTATAGTAAACCTCTCTTATAAAATGCTCCTCAAGATTACCATTACTCTTGTACATACAGTTTACAGTAAATTTGTACAGGAATGTATTTGTAAATCAATGACATCAATTTGTCATCTGATTTCACCTTTTATACAAGTTACATTTCCTCTATTTATGAGAAACTACAATGCAATCTCACGGTATACAAAATATGAAATTATATTACAACAGTACAAATAGAATAATCTACAAAAAGCTTATATAAACCACAAACCATTAAAGTATTTAATTTCTGTTCCTCAAAAACTTCAAAGAGATTATGTATATAAAATTAAGGAGATGTGGTATAATTGGAATTAGACACATATCCAACAGGAACGAAAGGATATAAACAACTATAAGGAACTGTATGGCCTTCAACAATGAGCAAAACCTTTACCATATAGTAAAATATAATAGGCCCAGCATGTCTGTCAAAAATTTAAACTCATGATACCAGTGATTTTAATATTTCAAATTGTTCAATGTCATGAAGTCAACTTTCAGTTTTATAAACCTTAAAGAGGTATACCGCTGCATTTTTATGCACCTGTCCTAAGTCAGGAATCTGATGTTCAGTAGTTGTCGTTTGTTGATGTGGTTCATAAGTGTTTCTCGTTTCTTGTTTTTTCTATAGATTAGACTGTTGGTTTTCCTGTTTGAATGGTTTTACACTAGTAATTTTTGGGGCCCTTTAAAGCTTACTGTTCGGTGTGAGCCAAGGCTCCGTGTTGAAGACAGTACTTTGACCTATAAAGGTTTACTTTTATAAATTTTGACTTGGATGGAGAGTTGTCTCATTGACACTCATACCACATCTTCTTATATCTATATACATAAGGAATCACAATTGTGTTCTATATATTTACCAGAAATTGAGAGTATTCTAATGAAGAACATATATGACGCACTTTTTTACCTCTTGAATTGAAAATAACTATGATAAATCTATCAAATAACATCCTTTAGATGATTTATTGATTGATGGATGGCTGCTCAGTGTCCAGTGACAAATATTTAATGCATATCCAGGACAATAACATGTTAGTGGGATATTTATTCTAGACAGACACACTGAGTGAGGCTTTTAATATGCTAGCTTTTCCTCAAATGTGACCTACCAAATTACACTTATCACAGGTTTTGTTCTTAAATGAGCAACACCACAGTTGCTATTTATGGAGTAGGATATGATTACCCTTCTGGAGCACCTCAGATCGCCCTCATTTTTTGATAAATTTCCTGTTGATCAGTCTTTAGTTTTCTATGTTGTATTTTGTGTGCTTTAGTTTTCTATGTTGTATTTTGTGTACAATTGTTTGTCTTTTCGTCTTTTTTGTCATGGCAATGTCAGCTTATTTTAGACTTAGGAGTTTGAATATCCCTTTGGTATCTTTTGCCTCTCTTTTACAAGGTAACAGTCTGCATAAGGACATATCATCCTACTCATGACACATTATTCTGACTTCAAGCCAACCAGTCTGCTCATACTACAAAATTTGGCAGACAAAAAGTGATATTCAACAGAAAACTTGTGTGTACTGTATGAACAGTCTTGGTTAACGTATTAACTGATCTTCATAGTTTATTGTGTTGTACTGTTACATAGACAATAACTGTTTAGTGTCTTTAAATATCAGCTGAATTTGTATAGGCTAAGAAACACGTGTAATGCGAGCTTCAGCAATCTATTACTCCTGTTTCAAACGGAGTACAGATACAGCTCTTTAAACACAACCACATCTTCGTACTTTTAAATTGGATTGGACAACTTACCCTGCCTTATTTTGAGCTAGCCACTAATGATCTGTATAAACAGTCTTAAGCTTGGGTCGGACAACTAACCCTCCATATTTTGAGCTAGCCATCAATGATCTGTATGAACAGACTTGGGTCAGACAACTTACCCTGCCTTATTTTGAGCTAGCCACTAATGATCTGTATGAACAGACTTTGGTCGGACAACTTTCCCTGCCTTATTTTGAGCTAGCCACTAATGATCTGTATAAACAGTCTTGGGTTAGACAACTTACTCTGCCTTATTTTGAGCTAGCCACTAATGATCTGTATGAACAGTCTTGGGTCAGACAACTTACCCTGCCTTATTTTGAGCTAGCCACTAATGATCTGTATGAACAGTCTTGGGTCCGACAACTTACCCTGATTATTTTGATCTAGCCATCAATGATCTGTATGAACCGACTTGGGTCAGACAATTTACCCTGCCTTATTTTGAGCTAGCCACCAATGATCTGTATGCACAGTCTTGGGTTGGACAACTTACCCTGCCTTATTTTGAGCTAGCCACCAATGATCTGTATGCACAGTCTTGGGTTGGACAACTTACCCTGCCTTATTTTGAGCTAGCCATCAATGATCTGTATGAACAGACTTGGGTCAGACAACTTACCCTGCCTTATTTTGAGCTAGCCACCAATGATCTGTATGCACAGTCTTGGGTTGGACAACTTACCCTGCCTTATTTTGAGCTAGCCACCAATGATCTGTATGCACAGTCTTGGGTTGGACAACTTACCCTGCCTTATTTTGAGCTAGCCATCAATGATCTGTATGAACAGACTTGGGTCAGACAACTTACCCTGCCTTATTTTGAGCTAGCCACCAATGATCTGTATGCACAGTCTTGGGTTGGACAACTTACCCTGCCTTATTTTGAGCTAGCCACCAATGATCTGTATGCACAGTCTTGGGTTGGACAACTTACCCTGCCTTATTTTGAGCTAGCCACTAATGATCTGTATGCACAGTCTTGGGTTGGACAACTTACCCTGCCTCATTTTGAGCTAGCCACAAATGATCTGTATGAACAGTCTTGGGTTAGTCAACTTACCCTGCCTTATTTTGAGCTAGCCACCAATGATCTCTGGTATCATCTACAACTTCATATTCTTCTCCCTATAGAAAAAACCATAATACTAACATGACTACATTCAATGCAGATAATAACATAACAAACTAGCATTCTATGTATATAGATACATATTACCACTGTGCTACAATGTTAGGTTTTTACTGTAATATAAAGGGCCATATGTATCCTGTTTATTTCATTTTTTTATATTGTTCAATTAAGGTGGTACCTAACACTACAGGGAGACAACTCTGTAAAAATCAGATAAACGTTTTAATTACGTTGTATTGTTAATGAAATATTAAGCTTCTCAATGATCAAAATTAGTGTTTGTCAAACTGTTATATAACCAATGAAATTTTTCTGATAAAGTGGTTGGTTCAAATTTTTTGAAATTTTTATATTTTTGTCAAAGGGTTAAAGTAAACATTTTGTCAAAATTTTATGAAAATTAAACGAGCCAAATTAATATTAGTCAAGGTGTTGGGTACCACCTTAATACCTGAGTACATGGAATATACAATTAAAGTATAAACAGTTGTTTCAGTTTACATCCTAAATAATCACTGATTTATAGTTATACAATTATATTTTTTCTCTTTTAAGAAACTACCAACTAAATATCTAGCACTAAAAAGAACTTTTTTTTATATCAAAAAGGAAAAGAAAGTATACTAGTCCCAGCATATATATATCAATCAAAATTCAATAAAAAAACTATTCTGTTTATCATGTTTTTGAAATTCATTCTTTCTTTTCAAAAAGATATATAAATTCAACAAAGTTAAGCAACTTTAATCAATAAATTAAAACAATGCATTTACATGGAAATATTTACATTAAGCATGGAGATCTAACCAAAAGTCTGTTAAAGTGCATGTGGAAAGCATAATTTTCCCTTTCAGGATCATTATTCTTCAGTCAGCTGTGCCATTCATGCGTCCATAGTTATTATCCTAAGATTACGGATTACGGTCATAGCTTTTCCGCTCATGTTGAATCCCGCCTCCGATCCGTAGCTCCAACAAATATCTCTTATTTTGTCGAAAGTCAAAATGTTTTGATGTACGCTATCGCGTAACAAGTACCGGAAGTGAAAGAAAATACTTCTTAGAAAGTTGTCTGTTTGAAATAACATACAACCAATCTGTAAAGTCAATGCTATATACTCTTTTCTAAAAGTAATAAATCATTAATATCTTTGAATTTCTTTACTTATAAATGAAAAATTGCTGATTAATTGACTTGGTAAAAATTGAAAATAGCCGATGATAAAAGTGACTATTGTGAAAATCAGGGGGACTAGATATTGCTTTTGACAGCCTGGCAACGTGAAGGGACGGATGGAAAAGCGACTTTTTCACCCCAGTCACCTGCTAGCCTGAGCCCTCGCCATCAACGACAAAAAAGTCATACCATTATACGACCGCTTTTACAGTCGTATAAAAATAACTATATCAAAAGAGAACAGAATCATCTTTTAAAATGCTGGAATAAATCAATTAGAAATTCTAAAAGAAATAGTTGTGATGATTTTTTTTAACATTAAAACCTTTTTGACTAACTTGCCTTTTGAATTTCAATCCTGATTGATTGATTTATGATTGCTTTATGTCGCATCAGCAAAAAAGGCTATATCACTGCAAAATTTTATTTCTGAAAATCATATCAATTAATATCACTTCTGTTCTCTTCTTATATATAGAGCTAATAAACCTTTCTTCTATTTAATTGTAAGGAAAATACAAAATTTACCTGCTGAAGTTCAAGGTCACCATCTTCTACAGGAGTAAAGTTATAAATAGCAATATAGAATTTCTTGTCGCGAGACTGATTATTGTCCTCAGGCTTTGGTGGAAGTGGTTTGTTTATCACAGATTGCTGTTTTGATACAGATGGTACAGTTGCATCATCTGAAAATTTTTATTGGACTAATTATATTACCATAATAAGTGTTTGAAGCACAAAAAAATTTAATAAACAAAAAAATTGCAATATGCAATTTCAGTTCAGGTTAGTATTTACTGTAAATTCAGAAATTATTGTGTGCATTTATTATTGGGTTGTTGAAGTATGGACAAAAAATGCGATTTTAATAACTGCGATTTCAGGAAAATCTGCATATAAATATATGTATCAGATATCAAAATGAGATTTCTTATTATTGCAATACTCACCCAGTCGTATTATTCGCATTAATAATAAATGGGGAATGTGTCCATTGGGACACAGATGTTGCCCCCGCTTGCATATCATATAAAGTTATAAAGGGACATAACTGAAGAATGCTAAAAGTAAAGCTACCCAAATTTGTACTTGATCTGAGTTTTGTGGTAATAAGTATTGTGTATAAGTTTCATAAAATTTGGTTGAGGCAAACTTAAGTTAAAGATGGAAAACGAAAAATTCAGCAATTTATCTATTTGTAATGGGGCATAACTCTAGAATGATTAAAGTGAAAACCCCAATATTCAAACTTGATCTGTGTTTTGTGGTAATAAGCATTGTGTATAAGTTTCATAACATTTGGTTGAGGCAAACTAAAGTTAGAGAATGGAAACCAACTTTGGGACATACAGACGGACAAGGGTAAAACTTAATGCCCCCTCCGCTACCGCGGGGACATAAAAACCTCGCAATAATTACTGAATTTACAGTATTGGAAATTCCTTACATTTCTCATTTAAGGAATGTGAAGAGACTTACATTTTTTTAAGCATGACATTATTGCATTTGAATGTCAATTACAAGATTAATTGTATTTTCCCACATTTGTTTAAGTATAGCTGGAAAACATTGTATTGAAGGGTATGGATCGTATGAATATATAATAGGGTCACTTATAGTTCCAAATGGGTGTACTATCTGATAATAAAGCATAAGGTCACTTTCTAGCTGTTGTGTAACGAATGAACACTCAACTTACATTTTGGATGTATATGCGATATTTTTTATACACACATTTTCAAGGTGTACTTCCAAGCACCTTACCCTGGAGACGGGATTGTGCACTTGGCATCGACTGACACAGGTTTCTAGAGGGTTTTGATCGATTATATCGTTTTATTTATCTCTTGTTTTTTCTGGCTGGCCATCTATGAAAGGGTGTATTTAGTCAAAGTTGGTTTGGTTTGGTTGTATTTAGGATAATACATGTATATACATAGGAATTGTACGATTTTGAATAATGTATGTATTGCAATAATAATATTTGTGAATATTTATAAAACAATCTGGCGTCCATCGAGCATGATGGGCTGTCGGCAAACTTAGTTTATGTTTATGTTGTTCATATTTCGGGTGGACCTTCAACGGCTTTCACTCAGGTAGATAGAATATTGTGCATTTTTTGAACTGTTGTGAATTTCAAAATTGATTGGGGTCATCTTCATTTATAGTGATAATACATGCATGACATGTATGTACTGTTTTATCACAACTTCACAAGTATTTTTTTCCCTCTCTTTATGCACTCTCTCCACACAAGGCATCTAATTTAAAGTCCCCATTCTAACAGGACATGAGTGAGTATTTATACATCCCACACACCAAACATTGCCAAACAGAAGACCCACTTTGGCAAGGGTTTTACTGTCAGTCAGATGAAAACCAAAAGTGAGCATATTTCTATACCCCAGTCATCCTTTGGGAATCCCAAATATTGAGGATGGCTATCTACCTTTCTCTGGTGTAGTTAAACTACACCCTACAGCATTCCTGTCTATCTGATCACAGCAGGAATAGCGTCCCAATGATTTAGTCCAAACACCAGGGTGGTACTTTGGAAAGAAACAAGCATGTTTCTTCCCTGCAGCTGCAAAGTAAGAAAAACAAATAGATAATTAATTTTTCTGACAAAATTGATATTAAATGAGGGGCAATAGGAGGGGATGTTATCCTGAATTCCCCCAAAAATAAGGCATTCTTTCCAGGATAACAAAAAATTAATCATTAATTCCTGAGTCCTGATAAGTGTAAAACCTGAATTCCTGCAAATATAAAAGCCCAATCCATACATCACGAAAAAGGTCCTTCCTCCTCTCTCAAAAGATACAACAGAAAAAAATTTCAATCACATTCAGAATAGATCTGTTTGTTTTTCTGTGTTAAATATTAATGGCACAGTTTTCATCTACATTGCCAATATTTATAGGGCCGCTAGTTTTTATTGGTGGAAAAAGCCAGGTTCCGGGAGAGACCATGACCTTGACAGGAAAACATTCAGGATAGACCAATATAGTGTTATACAAATATCATCTCTATTTACTGCTAGTCCAAAAAAACTATATTAGATAATGGTAGTTGGCAAATTAAAAGTGTACTTAAACAGATAGTTCCTTTCACATAAATGTTTATATTTATATGATTCTGCATCAAACACTCTAATCACAATTATCATACTCCTCAACCTTTCCTTCCAGGACTGAAAATTATATAGTTTTCTTTAGGTTTGCTGAAAAAAATCTGCACTTGATTCAAATAATAATATAAATTTGGCAACTACATCCTGGTTTCATGATTAATTATATATGGTACAGATTACTTAATTAGCTTGACAAGACTAACTTATCTGGGATGGAGTGCTTTCAGTTAACTTTTAAATTCTAAATTATATCTGGTAAAATCATTCCAAAAGGAAGAAAAGATGATCTAAACTATTGAGTTATATGGGTAAGATCACTCAAACACTTTAACAAAGTTCAAGTTAGAAACACTTCACTAATTTTTTTTTTATAGTTAATTAAAAATGCATTTCCGTCTATATGCCATTTTAATTTTCTTTGTTGATTAAGATTATAACAAAATGTTGACTGCTGCACCCCTATTTTTGACATTTTTTCCTATTATGTCTGAATTATATGCGACTGTCATACAAGTGAGAGGATTAGATAGCTATAAAACCAGGTTTAATCCACCATTTTCTACATAAGGAAATGCCTGTACCAAGTCAGGAATATGACAGTTGTTTTCCATATTCGTTTGATGTGTTTGAGCTTTTGAATTTGCCATTTGATATGGGACTTTCCGTTATGAATTTTCCTTGTTCTTTTTTTTTTTTTTTTTTTTTATTTTTTTCATGTTTATTAATTTAAAACTAACAAAACTGATGTCAAAGACCAATATTTTTTTCAACCACCTTCAGGATAGTGTGTGTTAGTGTATTACACATATCACATACCTGTCAACTTTTCAAAATCTCAATGGGGGATTTTAAGCACAAGAGGACCTAATGCTCCTCTTATAATGTCATAAGTGTTTTTAATCTAATACTATATTGTTTGAATGAGTATGTATATTATCAGCACAAGTTCAAGAAAACTGTAAGATAAAAATAATGATAACCAACATGACATCTCTTTTTATTAATACGACGATTAAAATATTGTAACAAAAAGTTTTACTTATCATCTGCTTAGAAGTACTGTGAATTAACTAAAATTTGGGGTTATCAATTTTCTCAGATGGAGGCCTAGAGAACAGACATTTCATGGGTTGCTTAAATTTGTAGATCACTGCTTAAAAAATAAATGGGGAATGTGTCCATAGGACACAGATGATGCCCCCAGCTTGCATATAACCTTATTAAGAGACATAACTCAAGAACGGTAAAAGTGACACTACCCAAATTTGTACTTGATCTGAGTTTTGTGGTAAAAAGCATTGTGTATAAGTTTTATATCATTTGGAAGAGGCAAACTTAAGTTAGAGAATAAAAACGAGGATTTAGCAATTTTTCCATTTGTAAAAAGGGCATAACTCTAGAACAGTAAAAGTGAGGCCACCAAATTCAAACTTGATCTGTGTTTTGAGGTAATAAGCATTTCACATAAGTTTCATAACATTAAAATTAATATTTGTTTGAGGCCAACTAAAGTTTGAGAATGGAAACAATAATTTCAGCAATTTTTCCATTTGTAAAGGGGCATATCTCTAGAAAGGTAAAAGTAACGCTACCAAAATTCAAACTTGATCTGTGTTTTGTTGTAATAAGCATTGTTTAAAAGTTTCATAACATTTGCATTGGTTGAGGCAAACTAAAGTTAAAGAACAGAAACAAAAAATTCAGCAATTTTTCCATTTGTAAAGGGGCACAACTCTAGAACGGTAAAAGAGACGCCACCAAAATTCAAACTTGATCTGTGTTTAGCAGTAATAAGCTTTGTGTATAAGTTTCATAACATTTGGTTGAGGCAAACTTAAGTTAGAGAACGGAAACGAAAAATTCAGCAATTTTTCCATTTGTAAAGGGGCATAACTCTAGAAAGGTAAACGTGATGCCAACAAAATTCAAACTTGGTCTGTGTTTAGTGGTATTTAGCATTGTGTATAAGTTTCATAACATTTTGTTGAGGCAAACTAAAGTTAGAGAACAGAAACCAATTTTGAGACGTACAGACGGACGTACGGATGTACAGACGGACAAGGGTAAAACTTAATCCCTCTCCGCTACGGCGGGGGCATAAAAAGTTTAAGATAATGTTAAAGTGATCTAGTCTTATATCCACTTCATTTGGTCTCTGCTCAACTGGCAATCATACCACATCTTATTTTCATATTATTCTAATATTTACACACATATATAAGATGCATGTTTGCCATTACCTTGTCCAATGCTTTATACCAAGTTATCCAGTGTCCACTAACTATAAAGAAATAATTGCCATGAATTTGTACTTGAGAATGTAAGAAAGTTTTTATCCCAAAATGAAAGACATTACATAACCAGAATAAAAGATATGTCTTACCATCCCTGAGTTCTTCTATCCATTCCTTTCTTTGGTCATCCTTCAGGGCAACAATATATAATGTAAAAAATTCTGCTCCTTCCCCATATACTACCTGTAACAACCATATAATATAGAAATTTTTCCCATTATCAACTTCTGTCATAGAATTTAAATAGACACATGTTCATGTTATATAAACATAAAAAAAATCATGAAAATAAAAAAATTTCTGTAAATTATCCTATTTTTAACTGGAAGTGTTTGTAGTACCTTACTTTATTCACTAATTGACTTTAAAACAGATGGATCCAAAGATTTATTTATTGGGGAATATCATATTAACATAGGCCATGGGCTGAGATTACAGGTACAAATGTATAAATATATTTTTTCTTCTTGTTTTTCCACCTCATAAAAAATCATTAACTTTTATCTTAAACGACACATTTTGGTTACTTTAATTAATAATTTACACTGAGCTTTTGATCATCACCACATTTTATCTTATTCTGATGTGCGCATTAGATTGCAGCGGTGCACCAGATTATAAAGTGAAACTATAACTGTGAGCTACATCTCATAAGGTCAGTATAATAATAAGAAGGAATTATTTAAATCTGGAATAATTTTGAATTCTGGAAAATTGATAAGCAATGTATGATGAAAACTAACTCAATTAAGGTGGGTTAGCTATACATGCATGGATAGCTTAAGGGAGATTAGTAAATTCATACTGAAATATCAGTCAAAAGTAAAATGAACCTTAGCCATGTTCTTCAGTTATGTTAGTTTTCATCATTCATTTCATCAATTTTCCAGAATTCCAAATTATTCCAGATTCAAACAATTCCTTGTTTAATGATTTTTTATCAAAAACCTTAGTTGAATAGAAGAGTCAGTATCTGGAGTTATATACATGTAACATGTATAATAAAGCAATGTTAAATATTTTTTTATCAATAATAAGATCTTACACAAACAATTTATAAACCTTATAAAACACTTGAAAATTGTCTTGTCTTACCTTGACCAAAAAGACTTTTTACATTCCAAAGTTACATAATTAAGACGTGTGGTAAATTTCAATCTGATTTCAGTACCGATACTGTGTTCACGCCTCTCTTACAAGGATCTGACGACACTCTGTTTTACTTTCTGTTCTGGTAATACCTGTACATCAGCCAAGGAAATTCCAGCTATTTGAAGATGTGTTTCCATGTGACAAAATCTGAGGATCCCGTAAGGTATTTTGAACAGAAAGTACAATGGAGCGCTGTCAGATCCTTGTAAACAGAGCATGGACAGAGGATTGTATTTTAATCAAGATTGGATAATTTCAAATAAACTGTAACCCAACAACACAAGTTTTCACAACAATTTTCATCTAAAAGTTACATATAGCTTTTAATTTTCAAAGGAGGAAATAAACCTACCTATTCAAAATGAATATTTACTGCATACAATTTTATAAAAAAAATATAAATAAATAAGGAGATGTGCTATAACTGCCAATGAGGCAACTATTCATAAAAGACAAAAAAAATACTGAAAGTGAATACCTCACCTTTTTGTTGCTTAACTGTCACGTGGCTCCTATGGACTAAACTATTTATTTCTTAGCAAGCAAGTTGGTTGAGATATAGGGCTCAATTCTATCAACCCAATCTGACCACATTTAAGAAAAATTTTGCAAACCATTTGAATGTTAAACAGTGATGAAAGGAGTCCAACAGCGGCAAGAGTTCAAGACTCAGAAATCTAAAAACCTATGATAAGATTGTGTATCATTTCACATCCTGGCAACATGGGTAAGCCTTGTCAGACACTGGAAATCTAAGCTGATGGTTGCCCTGCTGCCAAGTTTAGATTTTTGATACTGTATTTACAAAAATATGGGTCAATTTTCTTTTTTCTAGACAACTTTAAGTCAATCATTAATTTAGCCTCCCCTAAAAGAGTTGTTTCCTGTGTTCTCTTCCTATCCAAAATTTTCCTGCCTACACTTACTGATTTTAGGCTTTTTTGGTTAAGCATCTATTGTCAAGAACATTTCTTAATATAATCTATGCAAAATATAATCAAAATCAAAATCTTCTTAACCTACCTTCCTATCTTTTTTTTTCTGCCAGAAGGTTAAGAAACAAGTACTGTAAATTTAGAAATTGTTGCAATTTTTTTAAGTGTGAAAAATGCAACAGCATAATCATGATCATGTTTGCAATTATGCAAACTCGCATTTATAATTTCAATAGTGATTTTCCTTCACAAAATATATGTAATAACAATAATTAGATTTTATATTTTTTTACCATTAATCAGTGATTCATAATGATAATGCACACATTAATTTCTGAATTTATTTACAGTAGATATTTTCAACTTACCTGAAAAACGTTGACTTTGTTGTCTAAGGTTTTGTCTTCCACAGCCTCCACTACTTTTATTTTCTCAAGTTTTATTGCACCTTTCAATTTACCTACTTTCTATTACAAAAAAAAAAAGAAAAATCATGTAAATATCGATAATGTCTATATCAAAATGAGGGTTCTATGACAGACTATTACAATTAATGTATATTTATTCAACTTTAGGGAAACTGTATAAATGGTTTAGTAAATTCCTAAACTCTATTATATTGTTTAATTCTGAAACATGCAATGATGTACTGCCTGTTAGAGGAACTCCTATGTAAGTAACTGTCAGTTCACAGAATCATTATCAAAAGTATGGAGTAATCATTTTCAAGCGAAGTAATCAAATTCATTGCCCTTAATTAAGCAATGATTATCAGTGGATTGGCTTAATGCTTTTAGTTAAAAGTTAAAGATTGAAACTTCGATTGAAAGAAATGTCCAGCTGTCTCAAATTGTTTTTAGAAGCTCTGGTTTAGGGTTGTATTTTTAAAGCATATGCATTAAATTACAAATATCTGCATCAATTGTCTTCTGCAAATTCTTGATATAATTGGTTGAAAGAAATGTATCTATCATTAAAAAGTTTCAATTGTTATTTATGCTAAAAAGCTGGAAATAGTGGGTAAAGTTTTAAGGTGAGTTGCCTCGTTCATTGTCATTTAGCCATCTTTTGTTAAAAATCAAATTTTTCTTAATTCATTGATTTAACTAATTCACGTAATTGGTGAGTGAATATCATGAATATACATAGCAATAAGCATGATAAGCATCAATATCTATCAGATAAATAGAGAATATTATATGGCTTTTTCAATATCAACTCGAGACACCAATATACATGATATAATCCCAAGAGCTCTGCTTGAGAAATTATATTGGTTGAGGGTTGATACGGTGTGTGATATTGAAAAGCCACATCATATACACTTTATTATATATCTCATGTGACGTGACGTCATACAGATTAGGGGTTTTATAAAGCCTTTGCAACGGTGACTGATGTCGATGATGTGATGTCATACAGATTAAGGGTGTGATAAAGCCTTTGCAACCGAGACTGATATGGATATCATCAGGGATGGTTGATACAGCACGATTGCCATTGATCGTATTACACATACAATTTACATGTATTTTAATACTACTAAGTATAAATGTCAATGTCAATCAGATAAATGTCAATATCTTCCTACTAAGTCACAGGCTTATATTTTCCTACAAAGTTTCCTGTTATCATCATCATGGTACTTGTAATTGATTAATGATTTTAGAAAATTTACAAACGTCTACAATCATGACAATCAGGGTTTCCCCTGGACCAATTTCTTTTTCCCCACCTCTTTCGCCACTCTCATTTTTTGCCAAATGTTTTTGTTAAGAACTTTTCCTTCTTGCTAACAAAAAAAAAAATCAGTTTGCAGTATTGTTGTCTCCTTTATTATAATTCTACATATCTATTGCATATCCTACATTGTAATAATAAATGAACCCTCAATTAGAATGAATATTTCGAGAACTTTTTTAAAGATACTGTAAAGTTTTACATCTGGGAAACTCTGGGTTCATCTTCAATCATTTTAATGAATACTTCTTGTCTCGTTTAGGGTCTAAGAATAAAATCAGAGATTTTTCCTATATTTGAACCCTTTCTTCATGTTCTTCATAACAATTTTTTTTTTCCGAACCATAGTTAAAAGTAAAAGTTGAGACGTAAATTATGTTTAAAACAGGTGCGCCACTAAAACAATTGTGACTTCAAAACAATTATCTCCATCAAATCTGTAAAAACAGTCCTTAAGGTGGTTAGTGAAACCATTTTACCACACATTGTCATTAAACAATACAATGAGCACCTTTTTTAATTAGTCGATTGTTGCCGATTGTTATCAAATTATTGCTTTTTTGACAAAATTGATAGGTGTGATGAGTTCTTGAAAGGTGAAATCCAAGTATTGTCTGATCAGGGGAAAAGTCAGAGGAAGCTGAAACAAATATAAGAAGATTGAGGAAGTCAATATATTTCTTTCGCCATTCATGATTTTTAATCGCCACAATTAAATTTTTGTCTTCAATGGCAAAGAAACATGAGAAAAGATCAATAAGAATATGATCGTGACTTGGAAACTGATCTGACTTACAACTAGGCATATTATTATCTTAATATACATTTTTATGTAAATATTGTTATATCTTGAAATAAAAATAATCATCTAAATTTTTCATGTTTTGTCTATGATTTGAATTATTGGGGCTCCAGTAGGCATGGTAGGGTACCTCCTTAAGTCACAAGGTCACATTCAAAATTGCCTCAGGTCACCAGGTCACTTTACAAGCAAATTTGACAGGTTAATGTTTAACAACAAACTTGTTTTAAAGGTTATAGGTCCAGTCAGTTGGCAAGGTCCACAGTCAAACCTCCAAGGTAGTAGATGGTATTTGATCTTGATGGAGCCATACAATTATATACATGTAAAATTAAGTTTATAACAAAAATTATTTGGATGCTGTATACATATTTATACAAAGATCATAATATGGACATAATGGATAACAGATAACCATATCCCATGAGTCCAAATATCTATCTTAAATCTAACAACTTCATCTTGCATGTCAAATCCCAAAGTAAAAAAATGCAATCTGCTGACAAATGTCAAAATTTCAATGTAACTAAATATAAATGTATTTTCTACTTCTGGATAAATATCTATCTTTTCCCAGAAGTAGTTACTTCCTCTAAATTCAGAAGTGCTTTTAACTTAACAGGAAGGTATTTGTAGTATGAAAGTCAAATGTTTGTGGTGGCATAAAGTGTTTATTCTCTTATCGTGTACACATGTACTGGAACATGCATCATGATGTTGTTTTGCTGAATAATCAGGATATTTTGAGTGCACTATTATTAGGAGCCCATGCAAATAAGAAATATACAATCACTCAAGTGTGGGAGGGGGGGGACTCTGGGAATCAGGAGTTAGACATGATAGAGAACCATATTTTGACAAATTACAGTCATTTTACCTATAAATTACTTTTTGGGGGCCACTTCCCGTGTGCCCCCATAAGAATCCTCGCCTGTTCTGTTATTGTTTGCTGTTATTGTTTTTCATTATACATTTTATATTGTAGTATCAATCAGGTTGTTGCTTTTCCCTAATGCACTTTTTCCCTTTTGTCTTCCAAGGGATTTTTAACATGTTTAAAAGTTTACAATGCTTTATAGCTTTACTCATTGTTGAAGGACCTATAGTGCACTGTAGAAGTACTTGTTGTTGGCACACACATGGACTAGATGCTCTAAGGATCCTGTATCAACCACTTGTTGATTTTGAATTAATTTGATACTGTGCAACAAGAACATAAATTTGTGTTGAATGAAAACTGTCTGGGCCAAAATGTTGTTTCTTGATTACTTTTGATGGACAAAATTATAATTATTTTCATGATATATGTAATAGGCAAACTTAAAAAAAAGTTAGAATTGTGATTTAGGGGAAACAACTCCTGTAAGATCTTGTGTTCACTTTTGCTGTTCAAAGATTCAGTCCATCTATTACAATGTATTTATCAGATTATAGTTTGCAGATTATTAGGTGAAATCATTAAAATTGGTCAAAAATCTTCTTTGTTGGTAAAAAGAGAAAAACCAGTGAAGTCCATCCATGTAGACCATGTAGAGATATATTTCGGACTACATTAACAATTTTTATGCACATTAGAGTAAAAATCAACTCACCTCTAATGTACCATCTTTATAGCTCAAAGTATCATTATCTAATATGAACCAGCGACTTTTATAGTTCTGTGCAGTTATTCTGCTTTTGTTCACAGAACGCTTCATCATAAAATCTTGCTTTTTTTGTGAATCCATTTTTAGCTATTTTTGTTATTCACAGTCCAATTTCTACATCATACACAACTAAAAAAAATTTTGTTGACAGCAACTAAGTCTGGTCTATTGCTTATCAGCATTTACCACCAAATCATTATATCCAATCAAAACAGTCATTCTCATATCCTTTTTCATGTGAACCAAATGGCTTAACATCTGGAAAGAAAAAGTATTTATGCAATAGAACATGATACCAACTTGAAGGCAGTATTATATTATATACAAGTCAATATAATATTTCCAAGGTCATATAACATGTCAATGCCTTCAGTACAATGTACATGCATGTAATATCATATCTGAATATTAAAAAAATTCACAGTACATACATATATCAGTCAGATATATAACTCTATAGGGTTATTACAGAAAATAACATACATTTGTTACTGTGGACTAAAAAATCAAAGAACTGTGATAACATATGTATGTTACATGTTTCAAAGGGACAATATACATCATTAGTTTAATTAAAATGTATACAAGTTCAATTGATATTAATATTGGCTTTATGTATACTTAACTACAGAAAGATATAACAGTTCATAGTTTGTCAATTATGCATAGTACACCTATGTTATTACAGAAAAAATATGCCTGTAATAACTAAAGGATGTTATCACAGCTACTCCAAAGCATTTGCTCAGACATAGATCATGCTTAATTACAATGTATTTTAATTTATTGTAAGAAATAATGACCAGAGCATGTAATGAGGTTCTGCGCAAGCTTCCCAGTAATTCCCAAGTGTCTCGTATAATAAGTTACATTCCTTTAATAACTAAGCCTTGTTATTACAGCTAAGTCTAAATCTAAAAAGCCTTGTCTCATTGATTTACCATGGTTAATCAAAAATGTATTAATCTAATTTAAAAATTAGTTATCAAGGCTATGCATTTAGTTTCTGTGCAAAGTCTCAAGAGTTCCCTAGAGCCCACTATAGATTAAAATATTTTACAAATAACAAACATATGTTATTACAGATTTAGAAAATTTAAGGAATAAAGAGTAGACAACTCGTGAAAGTATCTGTAATAACACATGCAAGTTATTTCCTGTAATAACCCTATAGAGTTATATCCCTGACTGTATATACACGGTACATGTACAGTTTTTGTACTTTCAAATTTAAACAAAAAAGTAGATTAAAAAGGACTTTTACTTTTTAATTTCATGGCAATTTAAATTCTTAAATAAATGGGGAATGTGTCCATGGGACACAGATGATGCCCCCGCTTGCATATCTAATAAAGTTATAAAGGGATATAACTGAAGAACCGTAAAAGTGACGCTACCCTAACTTGTACATGATCTGAGTTTTGTGGTAATAAGCATTGTGTATAAGTGTCATAATATTTGGTTAAGGCAAACTAAAGTTAGAGAACAGAAACGAAAAAATTCAGCAATTTTTATGCTTATATAAAGGGGCATAACTCAAGAACAGTAAAAGTGACGCCACCCAATTTCAAACTTGATCTGTATTATGTGGTAATAAGCATTGGGTATAAGTTTCATAATATTTGGTTGAGGCAAACTAAAGTTAGAGAACAGAATTGAAAAATTCAGCAATGTTTATGTTTATAAAGGGGCATAACTCAAGAACGGTATAAGTGACGCCACCTAATTTCAAATTTGATCTGTATTATGTGGTAATAAGCATTGTGTATAAGTTTCATAACATTTGGTTGAGGCAAACTAAAGTTAGGGAACGGAAACCAGCTTTTGGACGTACGAACGTACGTACGGACGGACAAGGGTAAAACTTAATGCCCCCTCCGCTGCGGCGGGGGCATAAAAAGCTTTTAAATGCCATTTGAAACATGGTAAACATTTCTGATGTGCAGTATCAAATTAAGAGCCATTTTACATGTTTGAGACCCTACACCTACAATTAGATTAAAACTTACCTTATCTATGCTGTAAATTTGAATTAAACCACATCAGAGGTATTGTTGGGACCCACTGCAAGACATATTTAAACACTTATGTATTACACCTAGTGTACACAGGGTTCAAATTCATAACATATTGACATGTTCTAGTCCTGGATATGCATGTAAGGCCGTTACTTTTCTCAATTGAATTGTTATTATATTTTTTTATGTCAGGACCTTATAAAGCTGACTACACAGTATAGGTTTTTCTCATTGTTGAAGACCGTAAGGTTGCCTATAATTGCTTATATCCACATCATTTGAACTTTGGTTGATAGTTGTCTCATTCATTGTCATTGGCAATGTTTAAAACAGCCAAGAATAAATGTTTGACATTCATATTTAAGGAATGATGACAAAAAAGGAGAAACCAGATATTGTAATAAACTGAGGTACACAGTAATTCTATACATAATATGTCTTTAAAATTTTATTTTTTTTCCCCAGGCCAACCAGAATCTTTTACATCAAAAATCAGTAAATCAACAAATTAAAAACCCTGGCCTTAATAGACAAAATTTGCATTTCACCCCTATGTTCTATTTTCAGACATGTCAGCCATATTGGTCATGTTGGTTGGCAGCCGGGATCATCAGACAAAACATTTTAACACGATACCCTAATGATGATTGTGGCCAAGTATGGTTCCAATAAGCAGAGTAGTTTCAAAGGAGAAGATATTTGTAATAAAAGTTAGTATAAAATGCAGTAAATTTGACATTTATTGAAATACAAATCTATGTGATTATTGAAGACCTGAAATTAGAACATTGTACTTTAAATATCAGCATAGATTCAAAGTGCTTACAATAGACATAAGAAGATGTGGTATGAGTGCCAATGAAACAACCCTCCATCCAAGTCAAAATTTATAAAAGTAAACCATTATAGGTCAAAGTACAGTCTTCAACACGGAGCCTTGGCTCACACCGAACAGCAAGCTATAAAGGGCCCCAAAAATAACTAGTGTAAAACCATTCAAACGGGAAAACCAACAGTTTAACATGTTTAACCCTGCCAACATGGCCAAATTCTTTATGAGCCTGTTTAGTATTGGCTACTGTTGATTGCTGTCTGCCATATTTGTTTTTTGTTTATTTTTTTTTTTATAGCATCAGTCTGGTGTTTTTTCTTTTGAACTGTTTCACATTGAGTCATGCCAGGGCCTTTTATAACTTACTACATGTTCATATGGTATGGGTTTAATTTGCTCATTGTTGAATGTCTTTCAAGTGCCTATATGTGACCAGCCATCAGATTTTCAGGCAGAGGTACCAGGGTCAAAATGAGTTTTTAGCATTTTTATGAAGTATACAGAGATTCAAAACACCCTGACAAGTTATTTTGCTAGATTCTGCAAAATAACTTGATTATGGTCATTTTTGTTACTTTCGATTTTATTACAAATTTTATTTTTTTTCCAATTTTCTTATGTATATGTTCATCTATTATCATGATTATAGTTATCTTTAAACTTGTCATATATTTTTGTTTGTGTGTGGTTTTTATTTTTTTTTTTTGGGGGGGGGGGGGGGGGGGGGGTCCATTCAAAATGTAATTGTAGCTTTAGTAACTAAATAACAACAGAATTTTTATTTCCATATTAACCATTAGTTTGCCATAGCAACAATGTACCGAAATCTGCAATCTAAATAATAATGAACTAATCATATTTTTCTTTCTCTCGAGGAAAACTACATCAATGCTAAGAAAGTGAATACCAAGATATATAATAAACCATCAAAAAGCTGTGGGTTATTCAATATACTTTCTAATATTATCTTATTGTGAATACATTTTGTACATGTATCCTAACAAAGTGCTAATGCAGAATAAGATGAAATAGTCAAACAGCAAGATCAATAACCATGATAACCATGATAATATAAGGGTATGTAGGTGAAAGGGGTGTAAGAACACTTTCAACAATACATACATCTTGTTTATGCACTTCTAAGACAGACATAGATTAAAAAAAACCTAGGAACTAACATTTGATGAGATACTATATATTGGGGTCCTAAAGTGTAGGCATATTTTTCTTGACTTACATGTACCGGTATATTTTTTATACATCTGTTCATATTTTCCATTACAATGTGAAACAATGAGATTTACTCCAAAAATTGAATGTGCATGCTGCAATATGTATTGGTTTATCTTAAACTGATCTGATCACCAACTTTAACATGTGAACTATGCAAAACATTCAAATTCAATAGACCATGACTGTGGGGAAGGAGCCAAATAATCTCCAAGGAAATGAGATGTGCCAATGCTAATGCATCTACATACCAAATACTAATGACCTACCACTATCATGACTATCACAAACTAATACCTAATCACAAACTAATACATGTAAACTTAAGCAAGAGTTTCAAAGTAATAGACCATGACTGAGGAGACATGGCCAGATAATTTCCATGAAAATGAGATGTGCCAATGCTAACACAACTGCATACCAAATATCATTGACCTACCACTAGTGTCCATGGTTATTCGTCATGTCCATAAACTGACCTAATCACAAACTAATACATTGTTGACGCCGCCTCCGCCATCGACGTCAAAAACAGCATACCTAAGTCTCGCTTTTTGACTCCATCAAGGCAAGACAAAAATATAAACATTGCACTTTGAAATGCCTACAATGATCTAAAGTTTATTTCAGACCCCATTGAGAACTACATTTTTGTAATTTAATTTCAGATCAATGCAATGAAATCTACAAGATAAATTTTGTGAATTTAAAACACGATTTTAATCGGGATATTATCCTAAAATATAAATTTTATATAAAAAATCTACTTGCTTTGTATATCTTAATATACTTCAAATTTCCTCAAGTAAAAAAAAATGGAACTTTATTTTACCACATTATATAACTTGACATGTAAAAGCAGGTGTCCCGATTAAGCTACGTGACTTTACATAGACGTTTTCTCATTATGACGTTTACCGCCATAAGCCTGGAAATGTCATGGGGGGTCACATATTTGTTTACATCAAAGTCCTTTGGTCTCTGGTGGATACTTGTCTCACTGACAATTATATCAAATATCCTTAACATACATGTACTTCATGTACATGTAACAGTCAAGTTTACACAAATTTATATTTATATGAATTTCTGTACTTAATTGCACCCCTACCCCCTCTTTCCCCATTGCAACCTTGGTAGTGCCATAATATCAAATTATAATTGCTAATTGAGTGAATATTTTTATGCATAGGTTAAATTATGATTACCATTTGAATTAATGAAATCTTTACAATGACAAGTGTCAACGATTGGATTTTGAAAAAAAAAACTCTTTGGAAATCTGTTTATTTGGATATTTCAAGTATCATTATTTCAGAGCATACTCATTTTCAATAATGACTGCAGGGTTCTCACTTAAGATTTTTGAAGGCGAGTCCAGGGACCCTTATTTTTGCCCATGGCGAGTCCAACAGCAAGAAGATGAAATCTTATTGCTATATAATTTATCTTTTCAGTCCCCATGAAAAGCATGAAATGACATCAAACTAAGATTATTTTTCAACTTTTGTTATAAAATGTATGTGCTCAGTTGATACAACATTTTACAATCTTGATGCATCTTTGGACTCGCTAATTAGTATTAATTATTGAATCTACATATACATTTTAATGACACTGCCTATAAATAACAAGATAAAATTTTTGTCAGTGAAAGAAGTATTCCACTATTTTTCTGTGCTTGCAAGATGACTACGTTTATCAATTAAATTTGGAAATAGGTGGTCAATTAAGGTACAGTCAAGCATTTATATACATGTACAGAACATGTAGTATTTACAAAAGATATATATTGCAACTAAATAAGACTGAAAATGCAACTTGGAGAAACTAGGTTATAATGGTAGTCAGGTAGTGTGGAACTTTGTCTAAAATATACATGAGCACACAGAATATCAGGTCCGTTCGCAGCCCAATACACGTTCGCACCCTACACCTTCACAGCCCACACGCATGACATGTTTGCCACCTGGGTCCGTTCCCACCCTTTTTTTTTATTCAAAAACCTGATGAATTATTAGATGTTTTTTAGATGTTTATATCAAAATATGTTTATTTTCATAAATAAAAATTTGGGAATTTTTAAATGAAATATTGTTTTAATTGAATTTGATGATTAATTAGTATATGTTAATTATGAATGATTACTGTTAATAAGTTATTTACACAGCTAAACTTGGTGCTATTGTCATGTGTTTGAAAATCGTGATTGTTGTTTCAACTAGCTTTGATGTAAATTCTGCACTGGTGTTATTGTTATGTGTTTGACAATCGTGATTGTTGTTTTAACTTGCTTTGATGTAAATTCTGCATGTAGTTAGCATGTATTAAGCTTGGTATGAGTAAAAACAATGAAGGTTCAAAATGTTATTGTTGTTGAGTTTAATATTTGTTTGGTATCTTAACATTAAAAAAATATTCAAAACAAAAAAAACTTTTTAGAAAGTCACTTTCGCCCGTGAAAGGTGGCAAATGTGAATGGGATGCGAATGTATTTTTGGCGAACGGACCCAGATTCAGCACACAGATAATTATCTTTGACACACAACTAGGAAGGAAATAGAAAGTTAAACTGATATAGATGTCAAACATCATGGTTTTATGATCTACATGTATATTGCTACATCTTTCTCCTCTGAAAAACAACTAAATGAAAGTAAAGTCAATCGCTATTTGTAACTTTTTATTTTTATCAGAAAAGGAAAGAAATTGCTAGGGTCAGGGTTTGAAATACATGTAAGGTCGAGGGTCAGGAAACAAAATTCAAACATGTATTTTTATTTCAGCCAAGTACTTTGAGCTTGATTTCACTAATTGAGAGCATTCTAAATTTAATTATTGTTTATTTGTTCTTTTGTTTTGTTATTTATTTAACATTAATTGGCAAGAGTAACACCAGTCTGAAGTTTAAATGAATGATCCATACTGTTTCTTGAGTTTTGAAAGTATGTGAAAATTACTTCCTTTAAGAAGTAACATATTAAAATTGAAAACATGAAAGAGATCCATATATAATTGTAATTATTTAAGTTATATAGATAATAGATTGTTGCTTGCTTAACTTATAAGAAAAAATGTCAAATTAAAATTCAACAGCATTGACTTACTTAAGACAGTTTAAAAAGTGGACCCCTAAATGGTTGGTGACCGATTCAAACCAATCTTTATAAATTAGTTTCCCGAACTAAATTTATAATTATATCGACAATAACATATAATTAAAATCTTTATACCAACAAAGGTTAAATAATGGAACAAAGCTTTTCCATTGTTAAAAAGTGCTATTGGTAATTCAGTTTTATTATCAAACATTAATCTTCTCTCAACAAAAATATACTGATATATAAACCATGTAAACACCACTATTAGGCATAAGCTAAGTAATGGGCATGTCAGCTTCAACTTACATGACAAATAGACAAGAAGTAACATACTCCAGTGATTCTGAGATTAATAAATCTTAGTGATCAGGATGATTGATGGTTATATATTAAAATACTTAGGAAGTTGAACACTGGATAAAACCAGGAAGTTAAAACTACTGTTAACCAATGAAATTTTTCCAAATTTTCTCATAAGTAGCTATTGGAAACAGAAAGTGCTTTCACTAAATAAGAAATGCATACAATCTTTCCATTATGTAGATATTAATGTTTCTTTTGATAAGATTCCTTTGGGGATTATTGAAGACCAAACCCTACTGCTTTCGCTTCAAACGAAACTTCCGAAGAAATTGAACTGGAGTTACCTCCCTGGAAGTACACACAATTTGATAAACAAAACGAAATATCAAAATGAAATAGTCAGTATCCTATCATTTGAGGCTATTTGATACCGTTGAAAGCATATATTTATATATTCCTTCCTTGATATTTTCTTTTCATTATCAAGTATTGATAGAATTAAGAAAATTAAATCTTCGTTTTGTAAAAAAAATCTTTGAGACAAAGACCGAATATACACAACACAGCCAGGTTTAATCTAAAAGAGTAACTGTGCAGCTCATTTATCTGATTGTTCTTTGATAGTTCTCATCTTTAGAGTAAGCAGAAAATCGTAAAAGAAACCAAAAACAAAGACCCTTTTATTCTTTACATATGTAGAAAAAAGTACTCGATATGATATAATTTTAAAAAGCGGTCTCACTAATTAGCGACAAGAAGAATAATTTTAGCGACAAGAAGCGACAAGAAAACATTTTTTTATTAATTAAAATTACTTATTCCATATAAATATTAAAAGAATATGCAAAAGAAAACAATTTTAGCGACAAGAAAGTTAATATTCTATCAATAAATAGATAGAAAAAAAATTGAAACATAGATCTAATTGCTACATTTATTTGTGATATTTTATTATTTATTATGTATAACAGCAAGTATTACGTTTACCCTGTCGTAATATGAGGCAGGCGTTACCTGTGAAAGGGGACGAAGTCTGTATGAATTATTTTTTTGTAATTCAAACATATTTTAACTTCAAAATCTGTTCAAAAAGAAACGGAAATACCCTTACGTTTCCGATTTCGGTTCTGTTGTTCGGAATTTTAGTTGTGACGTTATTTATGTTATGACGTCATATTCAATGTAAACAAAGAAACGCTATCAGGTAACGTTTTTTTTCATATCAAGCCATTCAATGGAATTGGTATTGCGTTCCTTCCTATATTTTACTAGACTGATAAATATATATTTTACTCAGACTCATGCAAACGAGACCGGAAAAGGGAAGTAGATTTCTGCGCAAATGCGGGAAAATAAAAAAGTCTGAAAATAAAAAAGTTAACGATTATGAGTTCATTAGTAGAATGTAAAATTTCGGGAAATTTTCCCGATTTTTTTTTTTTTTTTTTTTATTGATTTTTCTACCGTAATAGGGGACTTCGTCCCCTTATTATGATATTAATTTTACTTGTGTTTTAGAACAATAATATATTTATCTTATAATTTGTTTTTAAAACTCTCTTTGTACACTATATAATAAACTTGCAAATGCATTATTTGTGCATCATTGTCCAGAAAATACAGACACAAATTGTGAAGTACAAAGAACTGAAATCAAACAAGAGGAAAACATAAATGTGAATATTTTTATTCATTTTATTTTTTGTATTGCCTCATTTAACGATATTTATCATGTTAACTTTATGAATAGTTTAATGTTGATTGAAGATTAAAGGAAATTTATGACATTCTTGAGTTTTCAACAGGTGTTCACTATTTGCAATGATTGTATATTCTGGTGCGTGTAATTGTATAGTCTGACGCGTGTACAAAGTTGAAGGTGTTAATTGGATGTTATTGTAGCAATAAAACAATAATAAAAAAACTAAGCAATCCCTTTCTTCCTCACAAATGTTTAATTTCTTCATCTATCAATATAATAAAAAAAAAATATCAATTGATTCCTGTCCATATATTAAAAAAAATCAAATGCATATTTTTGATATTTATTTGGAATAAGTAGTCTTAATAAAAAAAAATGTTTTCTTGTCGCTAAATAGTCTTCATTGTCGCTTCTTGTCGCTAATGTTATTCTTCTTGTCACTTCTTGACGCTTCTTGTCGCTTCTTGACGCTTCTTGTCGCTTCTTGACGCTTCTTGTCGCTAATTAGTGAGACCCTTAAAAAGAACTGATCATGACCCAACCGAAATCTGGGTCTGTTCGACCAAAATCACGTTCGCTCCCTTTCACGTTTGCACCCAAATTGGATTTGTGTTGAATATTTTTTAAATCGTGTTTTAGTTTGTTTGTTTATTGCTATAAATAAGTTTTTTTTATTGTTTCAAAATAAAGTGACATTTTAAAAAACGTAAACAGGTTTCCTACTTGCACTTCAATAACCACACACAGTCATTCAAGGCTCTGGCTACGGTTACATTGAAATGTAACAATGATAAAAAAGTTATTGGTACATTGGAGACTAATTGCCGGAATTGAGGGTTGGGTAAGCAGTCAGGGGACTTACTTAAATGAGTGATTTTCTATATCACTGATTCAAGTAACATTATGTCTACAAAGGTTGGAAGTAAGAGTTGTCTTTCTTTAATAATCACCTATCTAAGTAGTACAAATAATCACTAGACTAAGTGATTCAATTTTATTGTAGCTTTAAACATTGTTAAATCATAGACATATAATACAAGAGATTCGCAACTCGGCAAAATCCCGTAAAAAAACGCGGCCACTAGTTAAACCTCGCGAGATCTCTTTAGGTAATACAGTCATTAATAAAAGTATTAAAAGTACTAGAAGTAAGGACGAATGTTTAAGCATAACATAAACTGTTTCAGTGTTAAATTTATCATAATTAATTAAATAATTTGAGTTCCTATATAATTATTTATTTTATTGTAATTTTGATTTTAGATTTGTATTATTGAAAAAGAAACATAATTTGATATTGTATTAAAAAAAAAACTGATATTAAATAATTAACACTAAAACATAAATTGTATCAGAGTTCATTTTATTTGATAGTTTCATACATGTCATAATGGTTTCTATTGAATATACACCTGTCTCAGAGACATAATTTCACAGTGTGACATGTATATTAGGTTTGAATTATTCGATGACCAGGTAAATCACAAACATGTTATATATAATGAGTTTTAATTGACACCTTGTAAACAAGAAGTTGTTACACCACAGGTGTCCGCACTCTTTCCAAAAATACAATTCACAAAATGTAAAATTAATGTGGAAAAAAATTTAATTTATTTGTTAATTAATTGTTAATCATGATAGGCTTTGTTTTTTATTCTTGATATTTATAAATTATTAAAATTTTATTTATTTTTTTATTCATCATTATTTGGGCTTGCATTGAGTTTTTTCTGTAGGATTGTCGGTAAATGTTTGATTTCTAAGTGTTGTTTGACAGTTTCGTCATAGGCTTGCATTGAGTTGTTTTTTAAATGATTGTCGGTAAATTTATGGTTTCTTCATGTTCGAAGTGTGTATTGAGAATTAATATTTCAGAAAATTACAATTAATTTCTCATTTGAATAAAGCTTCATTCATATGCACGCAATATGGAAAATTCCGATTTTATTTCGTGGGATGACAATCTTAATAGTTACGACTTAGATATACTCCTAGTTGAATAAACTGATAACGAACTCTTTGTTGATAGTGAAATTGAAGAAGACATAAGCGAGAGACCCACCAACAAAAACAATTGACAATACTGCATACAAAGATGGATATGTGTGTCTTTTATTATCAAATATATATATATATATATATCTTTTGCAGTCACCATTGAAATGTCCTCAATACGATTTTAATTTAAAAATGAATTGGGTTCATGTTTTGAATGAGAAGCGTAGTCTGAAACAACAACAGATGCATGAAGCTCATTCATATTACGACCAGCAGAAGGTTTCCTTTACTAGGAAAATTTTACTCCTTTTGTAAATTTACTGTATTCGTTCATCTTTGACACCCTAAAAAGAAGAAAAAAACAATGACTTCAGAATAGGAGAAAATAAACAACTTTGCCATAAACAGAATGAAAAAATGAATAAATTGCCTAACAAAATGCAGGCTATAAATTTCATAGTGCACAAAAATGAAGGACTTATTTAAGGAAATTTGTCCATGAACAATTTCAATATTTAGACAGTTTAATAAAAAAAAAAGAAAAGAAAAGAAAAAAAAATTGGGAGTAATATATATCCCCATAATATGACATATTTATTTGTAAATTTCTAGTTTTGACGAAACAGATTGGTAAAATTAGCATAGCTGGCTTTGTGTATAAATAACAAAATAATAGTCACCTTTGTTGATATTTTTAGAAATAACTGTTGGATCAAATTTTACGAAACTGGTCTTATTTTCACGACATAACAACTGAGAGTAATATAGCCCATACAATTGAATATTTATTCGCACATCTCCAAGTTTTACGAGATAAAATGATAGTACCAGCACAGGTGGCTTCGGGTATCAATAAGAAAAAATCGCCACATTTGTTGATAATTTTGAAAAAAAACCCACTATTGAATCAAATTTTTACGAAAATAGTCTTATTTTCACGAAACAACATGTGGGAGTATTTTTGCCCCATAAAATTATATATTTATTAGCATATTTCCAAGTTTTAAGAAAAAAATTGGGAGACCAAATGGTTTCTACGGCAATAGGAGGTGAAGTAAAATGAGCTGAGTTTTAACTGTGTTTGTATTTGATTAATCTCATCATTAGAACACATTTTATCAATAAAAAATTATTAGAATTAGTTTTTTGTAACTTTTAAATATACTTGCATGCTTTAGCTGTAAAAGGTATCGGTATTATCCATTAGACAAATCGTGAGGCATAGAACCTTTTTCACAACAATAGTGGGTACCCATAAATCCATCGGAATAATCGGCTTTCCGGTGGCCACGTCATTTCATTGGCTGTTATATAGACTCTACTAGAGTTGCGAATCTCTTGTATTATATGTCTCTGGTTAAATGTACAATACTAATGATCCAGAGACTAATTATGTTGCTTAAATTATCAGAACCAACATCTGTGTTGATAGGATGACCTGTCATGTCAGG